CCATTTCTTCTTCAGCAGTAAAATATATGGGATCCAGTAAATGATGGAGGCTTCTGTAAAAATCGTTCTTCTTTTGACCTAAAAAAATATTTTCTCTGCCCGTTGTGTGGAACAGTGTACCGTTTGGTCTTGGCACCTTGCCTAAGCTTACATCTTTGGCCCTAGAGGGCAATCCTCTGAGGACGATCCGCCGAGAGCTCCTGACTGTGAGTGTCCAGCATTTCACCTGTAGCTATTTCAGTTTTCTCGTTCTTTATAAATTATGTTAGAGTTACCTGTAGATGATGTTTTATCCAAAAGATCTAATGTATACGTGGCCTATGTTTCAGAAAGGCACTAGTGAGCTCCTGAAATATCTTAGAAGTCGAATACAAGGTAAATGCATTAAACACTGTGTAATTCACAGCACATACAGATTTCACACTATACTCAAAAAGGAGAAAAATCAGATTTAACTGTTTCATCATTATGTATATTATATATTGTTGTGTGTTATATAGAGCAGCCAGATGGGAACCCCAAAGAGGAGCCCAAAACTGCAATGACTCTCCCCAGCCAGGCCAGGATTAATGTGCATGCCATCAAAACACTGAAAACATTAGCCTACAGGTACACCTATCTTATCATCCCAATGTGTTTACGCAGTATGCCAGTCTTCCTCAGTCTTGAGTATCGATGTGAAACCCTACAGCTGAATAGAATATTGTTCTCCCACTTGATTTTATAGTAAATAGCATGATCTGTACACACAGCATCACCAAAATGTCAAAGGACCTTTTACAACAAGCAGAAATCTTACATCTGTTGTGTGTGTGTGTTTGTTTGTTTATTTATTTATTTAGCACACACTCACATTGTGTGATGTGATGGGATGCTGTATGCCATGTAGTTCTACCTGCGTGCTAGTAGTGTTTTGAGCAGTTTGAGTAGGATATACTACTTTTAGATGCTTACCTTAAATGAAGAGCTTCTTTAAAAATGTCATTTTGTCTTCTGAATTTTCATAGTGAAAAACAAGAGGCTTCTATACCTGATGATGTGTTTGATGCGGTCAGTGACAGCCCTGTTACCAATGTAAATTTCAGCAAGAACCAGCTTACTGAAGTACCACTCAGGTATGGCTGACAGTTTTAATAGCTAATGAAATAATTCAAGATTCAGCACAAATTAATAGCAGTAATGAGCATTTTTTTTTGAGTAATTGGAGTAAATGTCTCATTTCCTCAGGGTTGTGGAACTGAAAGACACTCTAGCTGACATAAATCTTGGATTTAATAAGCTTTCTACAATTCCAGTAGAGTTTTCCAAACTACAACAGCTTGTACATGTAGACCTCAGGTAAGTACTACCATCATTCTGATCTGAACTTACTCAAATAAAAAAATTAAGACACAGATGGAATTAATAAGGTGAAATTGCAAATTGGATTTCTTCTTAGAAATAATGTTTTGACATCGCTGCCAGTGGAGCTGGAAGCTCTTAACAAGATGCGGAGCATTATATTGTCTTTTAATAGGTAAGTTTTAATATCGATGCCTTTAGTCCTGGCATTAACAACGTAATATTACCGCATTGCTCTACTGATACTCTACTCACGCTAAATTCCTTGCTGTCAAGAGCTAACAAATTTGTCTAAGTAGTTTGTGCAAGATTAACAGTACATTTTAAAATTCACAAAACAAATCCGATTAAAACATTGTGGCTTATAACTCACATTCTAGCAATTAAATGCTAACATACTGTTGCGTGAAAAATCCATCTAGTAAAGTGACCAGGTTCTGTAGAGTGTGACGGGGACACCTGTTTCTGTCAGAATCTCCTGTCCTCCTCACATCTTCTGTGTCTGAGCTGGGTCACACTACTGTAATACTTCCCAATCCTTGACCACAAAAAAGCATATTCACCAATATTGAATATTGACACAGACTTTATTGTACATTGCTTTATAGTGCAATCCAAAATGTCTTTTAATCATGTTCCCACATTACAATTGTTAGATTTAAGGCTTTCCCAGATGTGCTGTACCGCATCGTAACACTGGAGACAATTTTAATCAGCAACAATCAAGTTGGAGCCATCGATCCCGTCCGTCTTAAGGTGCTGGACAAACTGTCCACTCTGGACCTGCAGAACAATGACATCATGCAGGTGCCACCTGAGCTTGGCAACTGTACTAGTCTGAGGTATGGATGGCAAAGGTCTGCACACTTATTCTACAGTGCAGGGTGGAAGCATGAGAAACGCAGTAGATTGTCAGTATTAAGGCTGCAAGAAAGGGCTAGCTTTTAAAAGCTGTTTGGTCATTTTAAAGCTGTTTGTGCAGTTGGTTAAAGATAAAGAAGGGGCAACATTACTTCCCTTAAAATAAAATTTCACCAAATTTTTCATAATTCCTTCTTAATTTAATTGTTAAGATGTAAACAAAGTCATTCAGAGTAGTTTCAAGTGAAATGCTCTGTTCTAGAGAAACTTGCTGAGTAATAAATTGTTCAAACTGCTGGTGATAGGAACCAGACGGCCAGAGAGGTTAGTGTCTTTAAAAGCTATTTACCTTACAGGAAGCTTTTACGTGACATGGTTCAAAATACGCTGCTTGATGCCCAAGACATTGGTTGTACTATAGTTTAGAGATAAGATTTTGGCTTAAAACATATTTTAAAATCCATTTTTGAAGAAGAGGCACTTTTAGGTCATTCACAAAGACCCCCCAAAGACCACTATTTTGCCATTATCAAAATTACGTATAAGGCACATCCCGTATGTTCTCGGGTCATTTTGAATAGTAAAGAAAATCTTTATTTTATTTAAAACTACACTGAATCGCGGTGATATACAGAACAGTTGGTGAAAAAAGTAGAATTCCCCTTAAATGCAACACAGATAGCCTTGATTTCCAGGTGATTGTAATACTTATCAGATTGTAGCACTGCATGGAAGAGACAAATGGGAAATATGCTCTAAATACAACATTTCTTTCAGTGTATCAACTAATTTTAGAGGCAGGATTAACGTTTACTCTTATGCAAACACTCAGCTTTTTCCACTCATTTCCACAGTGAAATTTATCCAAATCCATACATCCCTGATTAAATCCAGATGACTTCATACATCCTCAGATGTGACTATAGCATTAATGCCAAATGGAATAAAAGCAAATGATTGTCCCCTCTTCTTCACCCCTTATTGGAGCATTACTGAGAATGTTCATTCTTTCAGATGTTCCCAAGTGAAAGTAGCCTTAAGAACATATTTGTGAATACTGTTGTTGAAGTATGCTCTTGAACTGTGTAGCTCACCTATTTTAATCAGTATTTTGGTGAAGAAGCCACTTCTACTTTTTAAATGGGCTACAGGTACAAAAGCCTCCCATGTAGGGTTGAATCTCCTAATGTTACACAGAAATTTTGCCCCTGTAACTTCTAACTGTTGTGGTCTATAAGAGGTTCTGTATGATGTGGGGTTTGTCTCTCACCTCTGTTCTCTGGCTGACAGGGCTCTGATGCTTGATGGAAATCCTTTCCGTAATCCTAGAGCTGCAATTGTAGCTAAAGGAACAGATGCCCTCCTTGAGTATCTGCGAAGCCGTATTCCTACCTGAAGTTACATGAAGTCTTAACTACTACTACTGCCATGTTTTTCACCATAAAACTACTTCTGTAGGAACACACCGACACATTATTCTCAACAGTGCCATAGAAATGTTGGAGTCACAATCTTTATCAGGAATTTGTTTGTTATAATTATGTTTTTTTGCATGCCATGGCTCATGGCCTTAATTCAGATGCCCCCAGAAATCACGCCCTCACAATTCTTTGAAAATCCACTCTGATCCAGCATCCTCTGCCAGTTACCCTGTCTGTTTGTACTTTCTGACCAGCCGTACAATAAATGACATTGCAGTGATGATTTATTCATTAATTACCTTAGCATGCATCTGTCTGAGAAAGACTAAAGAACGAGGAGCGCTAAGTGACCAAAGGTTTTGCTAGCTCTGGTAAATCAAGACTAAATGGGGTGGGTGCACTGGTCATAAATTTTGTCTGTGTCTTTACAGCAAAATAGGCAATTTGTGTTTTATTTATTTATTTGTTTTAAATACCTGAAGTCATATGAACACATGAAACATTCTAGTACTAGTACCAGTATTCTTAATAGCCTGTTAGCCAGAGTTGCATGACATTATTTGCTATTTAACAGGCCAAACTTAAATGAAAAATCTCTCTCTATTTAAATAATATGTCAAATAAGGTAGGAGACTATTCAGCATGAATGGTGTATAATCATATGACATTTTGCTGTAGGGGTAGCAGGAGCATTCAAATACAATGTGCGTGCACTTACCTGACCCACGTTATTTATGTTATAAAATTACAACATGGTCTGAAGACCCTCAATTTAAATGTTGATTTTCTAAAATAATGCATCCTCTACAGGGAATAAACTTTAATATGGCATTTTCTGCTAATTTTACTGCAGAATTTCTGTTTGTTTGATTTTTTTAAATATTGAAATAGGCAGTCCGATTAATAAGTGGTTGAAAAAATGATTCCTTTTGCTGAAGAAGCTTTTGGGCTTTTTATGGAGCCCAGTTTTATGATTTTAGTCCAGATTATTTTCTGTAACCAAGGTCTTAATCATTTGGTTATTTTGCACTAGTTAATAATACTGTTGGTGTAATACTGAATAAATTCATATCGCTGCTGTCAGGACAAAACCTTGTATCTCCATTTTTGTTTTTCATTTTATGAAATAATTTGAAAAAGGCAGGTGCCTTTTATGTTGTCAAAATTTCATGTTGAACGGACCAACAGAAAAGGTCCAAAATGAACTAATATTTCTCCATTTACTTCCAAGTTAAGAATATTTTTGCTTGTCCTGTACAGTTACCTTTTTCCTGACAGCAGTGATATATAATAATGTCATATTGTCTAAATTCATTCAAGAAGTAGTTGTAGTTTTGCCCTAGTGTGTCTTGAAAAGGATCAGGGAATGACAAATAGTAACAATAGTGACTTTTTATTTGTACAATAAAGACTTTCATACATTATTCAAAACACCTCTTAAATACTGAAAAAAATCTGTACTCTCAAAGCCGAAAATGGCTCCGTTATTTGCTGCACAGCTTTGAAATTTTTTATATTTTGCTTTTTTATTATTAAAATTTATCTTAAATATGTACAGATAGCATCTGCAAAATGCATTCTAGACACAGAATATAATATTTCATCAATTACATAGTGTTAATTCAGGAAAAAAAATAATAGGAAGAAGTAAACTTGCGTGTGCAAATAAACTGTATGATAAATTGTCACTTAATCTGTTTAACTAAACGGAATAATTGTATTATTCTATATATAATTACTTTTTGCACAAAAAAATGAAACAGCATTCAAGTCCAGTAAGTCTTCATACTGCAGAAAGCTTTGAGTACATTCACAATCTATAGGAATAAATTATTTAAATGTTTTCATTCACAATTATGTACATCAATACTGCAATTAGACTGAATAGTACCATATATTGGATTTTATATTCAATAGGATTTTAAACACATACAAAAATGACCATCTGTATATCCATATACATATATGTTTGACACAAATTCACAATTACTGTAGAAATAGTTTTTAAGTTTGTTTCTAGAGTGTTCTCTCGTGTTCTAAATACTCTTTTCCGTACAGTTTTTGTATCTTTATAAAATCTCACAATTTGAGCAAAGCTAAGTATATCAATATATTAGAAATAATTACTGAAAACATTTAGTAAAAATAATCATATTATCAAATGCTCTGTCACAATAGTATTTTATCAATTAGTTGTCATCCAAACTTCAGCTTGTTATATAACTAAATTTCTTTTTGAAGTAAAACATGGTTGGGGTTGGAGTTGGGGGTGAGGAAGGGGGCGAGGTGGGGGGCTCTCACTCTTAGTTTTGCTCAAAACCACCGAATGCTACATTTGTATACATTATTTTGGACATGCCCAGGGCATACAGGCAATGTATTTGTTATGGTACACTATGGTACCATTCATCACAATGATTTATTTCCAGGTGGAGTCTGCACTGATTATTAAATAAAAAAATAAATAAAAATAATAATAATAATACTTCCAAGTGACGTAAAGCAACTGAACATTCAATAAAAAAACACAATGTCCCCTAATAACTTTCTTAATTAGACAACTTTAAAAAGTGAAAGCATGCTCTAAACATTAAAGCTCTCTGTGGATATCTATAATGTAATGATGGGAATTCCTTTGTTCATAGTAGATGGTGATTAAAAAACCTTAAAGCAGGAGAACATCAACAAAGCACTGAAAGAAATGATATGAAAATCCCTTTGTATAACCTAAGAAATGAACATACAGACTAAAAAATCTGTGAAATTAATGGCTTTTACCCCTGGTGGATACATGTCAGGTTAAAACTCATAAAAACATGAAAATGCTCATGTTCAAATCAGTGGTGATGTGTTTTACCCTGTCCGAAATGAAGAGGAGGGAATTTCTCTGTATTATCAACCTCCACACTGACCAACAGAGGGCGCTGCAGAAAAGTAATAGCAGGACTACTACTGCTTTTGGATTCTTTTCTGCCGTTTGATTTGTGCAAAACTCTTACAAGAGCCACAATCCAACACCACACCCAATGCGGTAGTAGAGGCCTGCTTAATAAAACGTTTAAAAATTTGTTGAAATGGAGTGAAGGGGTAAAATAAGAAATCTTTCTAAATATTACAAAAAAATTGGAATAATATCAGAAAACCATCTCGATCACATTCTCCTCTCCAACCACGTTACATTTTACTAGTAAATGTATATATTTACACAAGGCATTTACAGAGTTGAGGCAGTGTCATGATGAACAAATGTCCTTAAAAGCGGATGTGCTTTCATGCTCCAAGGTTAAAATGAAAAGCTGCTTGGAAAAATAGGTACAAAATAATAGGCAATATAAATAAGCAGAAAAACGCACCCACCTACAGCCACAGGCTGAGAGATAGAAAGGAATTCCAACCACACCAGTGTAAGATTTCAGCACATATGTATACGTATAAGCCATATGTCACATTATTAGATTAGGTTCTCTATTGTACATTTGGCACTAGTATTTTGCCATTGGTCCAGCAATTGGCAAAACTGTTCCTAGATAAAAACATGATGTACAAGTTCCTGTGTTCCATTTTTTTTCCTTTTTTGAGCAAGAAGTCAGTGTTATAAAAATATTTACATTGTGCTCTCCCTTAAAACGACCAAGTCCACAGCTTTCGGGAAACTCTTCAGAAGAGACACTGCCGTTTCGTGTTCGATGTGTAAAAAACTATGTCCATTGGCCTGCAATGCAAGAATGAAGCAGAGGATGAACAGAGGGCACTGAGGGAAGCAAGCTGGGGCAGGGAGAGGCAGGGCGGCACGGGAGGGCTGGGAACAGGCCTAGCTCAGAGAGGATAAAGAGACATACACTGTCAGGGAAAGAAAAAAAGAAGAACCAGAGAGATGCACACAGGTAGAAGAGGTCATGCTGTAAAAGGAGAGAAGGTGGAGAGAAGCTGGTCTTTGGAGAAATCTGTTCCTCAGCTAACTCTGTGGATCTGTGGAGAGAGAGAGCAGAGAGGGACCCGCTTTCTGCAGGCTACGGCGTGGGCAAGCGAGGCTCCTAGTGGCACACATTTAAAGCGACACTGATAATCGAAGACAGCCCAATAACTATTGGGGCCATTCCAGTCCCATACAGTTATTTAGGCAGACAAAGCCTGGCTTGCTGATGTAGGGTGGCAAAGCCAAGCGTTTCAAGTCTGATAATGATATATGACAAACATAGTTTGAATGGGACATTAAAACTGCATGTAATATTCACCAAACTGCATCTGTGTATGCAGACTGTGAATATTTCATTTTAGCTATACTTCATTACTTCATCTCTACCCTGGGGCAGTTGAACTGTGCGATATTCAAGGCTCTTCAGATAAATTGGCCAAATGAAAACGTTTAAGGTGGTCCCTGAGTTATACTAACATACTATAAAATTCCATCTCTATTAATAGGCATCAGACGGAAACAAAAGACCAGATTCAATCTCTGTTTCAGAGGCAGAGTTAGAAAGATAGGAGGAAAAGGTGAGGGAGAGGATTTCAAGGACCATAAAAAGTTTCAAAATTTATATTACGTAATCATTTTTCATGCCATTAAAGCACTGGAAAATTAATAAACGATCAAATTATCAATGTAAAAGTACGGTAACACAACTATACGGCATTGTTCATAGGGCTGCATGACACCTGCTTAAGCTCCTTATGACAGCTGACATAGACCCACATAAACATTTATAAAGGCTTATTCTAAAAGGTCAATTATCATGTAAGTTGCATTTGCCAACTTTGATGTCAAGTTGATATAACATCTGCAGTTGTATGTAAAAGTTCCCTGGTCAAATTACACATTTTCTTAGTTTTCTTAAATTTCTTTGCTGAGTTTTATACAAAAGTTTGGATACTCTAGATCAAATTACATGTTTTGTTAATACTTAATAACTTAAATGTGGCATTTTCCAGCTCAATTTCTATTTATTTACTTTAACACAGTTAAACATATTGGAGAAAAAATAAATATTTTGCGAGTTCGGACTGTGCCTTCAAAATGTTGTGGTAGTATGGGGTTAGACTGATAGAGAGGGTTGAGGACTCTGAGAACTTGGGCTGGAGCTCTGGGCAGCTTCTACTAGGAGCAAGAAGGCTTGACCCCCCCTGTAACTGCAGTAGGACTGAGATGGGGTGGTGGTGGGGATTGCCAAACTTTTTAGAGTGAAATGACATAGCCTGTTGTCACAGCTAACTTTGTAGCTTAGTATACATCACAGTGATGTAATGCTAAACTTACACGGTAGACTCACAGTCAACCTGTCTGACTTGGCAAGCAATATTCAGCATTATGTTACTGTCACATACACTAAACTACAAAATCTGTCTAATTACCCCAGAATGTTTCAGATATAAAGTCAACTAGACATCAAAGTTGGCAAATACAACTTTTATGATAATTGACACCTGTTGGAATCAGTGTTTATAAACGTTTATGTAGGTCTATGTCAGTTACCATGAAGGACTTATGCAGGAGTCATGTAGCCTTATGAAGGCTGCCCTATAGTAAAGTGTTACCAAAGTACTACAAGTAGACACGCTGCAGCTTGAAATGATGGAACAGCCATAGGCTGCCCTTTGAGTACTGACAGGCCAGTAAAGCATGTCAAGGTTTGACAGACGTCAAAACAGGAGACCATGCTCACTTTGTTGACACACACACATACACACCCTAGACACAAAATGCCACATGCAAAAGCCTCCGCTGGCAGCGCGGCGGAGGAAGCTCTGTTGCACACTTTGTTAGACAACATGTGGTGATGGAGGAGAGTGTTACCTTCAGAATTTTGTCCCCCGGTCGAAGAACATTGGAGGCGGGTCCATCAGGCTGTACCCTAGTAACAAAGATACCCTATAAGTCAAAAGTGATATGAGGTTAGGAATCACATGGTGGTGATGGTTTAGAATCTTTGCCTTTCAATCTGGATTTTTTTTTTCCCATTTCCATAGTTCATAGAGATATTGATATGCAGGTATGAGGCTAATTAAGAAAGCTTAAGCTCTTAAAAGGTTGATAATTATTCTTACAAAATAATATCAAGTCTTTCAAAAGTTGAAAAAGACATAAAACATAAATGTGTTGATTTTGTGCAAAAGTACTTGTTAATTACTACTGTGTACATGTCAAGGCAGAGATTATAAAGCATACAGTTATGTACCAGATGTGTGACCCAACAGTATGCATCATGTTAACCCACATTACTGGTACCACATACTGTGAGTCCACCAAACTCTACATGACGTCATTTCTTCAGGCACGACAAGGATCCAGCTTCTCAGAAGATCCCCAGAATGCTCAGTACAACACAGATGAACTTAGGACTAAAGTTTAATATGTTGTAGATAGTACAGTATTTACAGCATATACAATATTGATCATGTAACATATCTGCCAAACTAACACTTAACAAAGAATCATACCACAATAAAAAAACATGCATAATGTTAATAGGCTATTGCTATCATGTATAGTGAAAGAGTAACAATTGCATATGAGTGATACAGCTTTACACTAAACATTACTGACTACTGGCAAGCCATGAAGAGGTTAACAGGTAATGCGGCCAGCTGGTGTGAAATGTTGTGCATTGCAGTAGCTCATGTTTCCATGGAAACTCTTAAGGCGAGACCTACAATCTCTCTTACTAAAGTGTAATCTGTTAACATTAAATATGAGAAATGGTCAGAAGAAATGTCTCCTAAAATGTATCACGTCTACCTTAAATCATGTATTCTCTGTTTGTAACTGAGGAAGAAAATGTCTTACCATGTCCGAGGGCTTGAAGGGGTTTCCCTGCCCACTGATTCCCCCTGAGATGCTGAAACCAAGGCCAGGATTTTTCTCAATCCGAACACAGAACTGTAAACAAGAAGATAATAATGTATTGTCGTTTCTGACGTAAAACTACAAGAGGGATATAAATATAAGGTTGTGTACTGTAATTATAAATACATTACTTTTTTAACTGTATAGTAGGTGATATTGCAGTGCTAAGATATTTTCACAGTTTACTTCTGTGACACTGAATTGCTATGCAAAAAAACATTTGGTGAATAGAGAACACTGCGTTTTACAGTTACATGCACAACAGTATTATGTTACATTAACATAATTTTTCCTTCTTTTGTAAAGTTACCCTTTCTGATTTACAAGGTTGTCTAATGAGAGCAACTATATGCACTATATGTCCAAAAGTATCCAGACACTCCTTCTAATTCTGAATTCAGTTCAAGACACTTGTTAGGTGCGCACACTTAGCTTTTACATAGTCTCCATAGTAAAGCACTGCCAATAGAATGTGAGGCTCTGGAGCAGCCACATATGAGCCTAAGATCACCTAGCCCAATACCAAGAGCCAGCTGGGGGTATAAAGCCCCCCAGCGTTGGGCTGTGAAGCAGTGGAACAGTATTCTCTGGTGTGATGCAGCTTCATCAATCAAATCGTCACAGCAATGTTCCAACATCTAATGTGAAACCTTGCTAGAAGAGTACAGGTTGTTACTGTAGCAAAGAGGAGGCAAACCTTCTATTAATACCCTTGATTTCAGAAGAAATGTTGGATGAACAGGTATCTTTTTTTTTTTTTTAAGGGTTTTGTTGGTAATGTTACTGCATTAGTTTTAGCACTAGCGTCGCTTCATTTAGAATGAGATGGGTGGTTCATAACCTGCTCCTGATAGCCGTCCATGCTCTTCTGGCCTTTAGTCTGGATGAAGCAGCGGGCGCTCTGAGGCCTGGGACTGGTGCTCGTGATGGGCATGGGTAGAGGAGACTGGTACTGCTGAATGGACACCTTGTTCATGGCTCCCTCGTACTGCTGGTCTCGGGCGGCTCGGTGGGGTGGGGTGGCCGAGGCTGAGGTCACCATCATGCCCTGCTGTTGGTGAGGGTGTTGGACAGCAGCCTGAGGAAAACCAACACAAAAAAAGATCGTTAACTGTGAAGAGGCAGTCAGATGTAGATCATTTCAATGTGGGATCATACACTACTGTCCAAACGTTTGTAATCACATAATACATTAAGAATTCCTGTTATTTTATTCAACAATAAAAGTTTAAATATTATAAACTACACATGGGAAGGTATTATTATTCTTATTGTATCTACACACACTGTCCATTTGATCAGCTCCACTTATGGGTGTATCATATAGATGCACTTTGTAGTTTTACCATTATAGGCTGTAGTCAATCTGTTTCTCTGCACACTTTGTTAGCCCCCTTGCACCCTGTTCTTCAATGATCAGGACTCCCACAGGACCACCACAGAGCAGGTATCTGATCCACTCGTACCAGGGCATCACACACTAACACACCACATCAGTGTCACTGCAGTGCTGAGAATGATCCACCACCCAAATAATATTCTGACCATTGAAAAACAAGGCAAAAGGGGGTAACAAAGTTTGCAGAAAAACAGGACTACAGTCTGTAATTGTAGAACTACAAAGTGCTCCCACATGGTAAGTAGGGTTGATAAAATCAAAACCAGTATATTCTCTAATTACATATAAAAGGGCCCAAATCCTAATTTTCTTGTATTTTATTTTATCTTGAGGTTCACTTACGGCATTGTTGTGGCTTTATATACCAAAAACAGACATAATTCATTTTACATGACCTTTTTTTCAACCTCTCTTTATCCATTAGAATAGGCTGATTTATGTAAACATGTATTGTGGGCTGAAACACTCCTTAAATCCTTTTATCTTGAATGAATGGGCAGGGCTAAACTGCTATAGGCTGAATAGGTGGATATACTGTATGTTAATGTGTTGGTTTTTGTTATATCACAAAAACAAGTAATTGAAAACAGGCTGTTTTTGCAGCTTAGTTTCAATAAATGGACTGTATAGGAATGAATGGAACTTTTTGAAACTTTAACAGTGTCTCAGTTCACCATTCTTGACATACCTAAAATTAATAACAGCTTGCTACCTGTAGAGATGTGAAGAGCTAGTATTACAATCAAATTAGACTCATTTCATGCATTTCATATGCAACAAAGCTGGTTTTGTAAGTGTGATTCCACTTCTGAACATTAGTTTATATGTGAGGTGCCAACAAACGTGGCATACAACAGTACGCATTGTATTCTAATTGGATTTGTTCAGTAACTCCTAGTCTCCTCTTCTGCCCTGCAGTTATGCCTCGGTCCTGAGTGACAGCCTTTAGACATACACAGACAGGCTCCGGTTGCTAAGGAGACCAAGGAAGAATGCACAGTGAAAATGAATCACAGCAGCAGCTAGTAATTAACCCTGACATTTCAAAACATTAACATGGCAATCATGGCTAGATTGAGATGCATGTCCAGGAGAGAGCAGCTTTAGCGGAACGGGAAGCTCCAAAGTAGAACAAGACAAGGCTTATTACTGAGGGGGGACAGGCGTTTCTCCAAGACGTATTGTGTGAGCGAGAATGATAAAAATGTAATGACATCAAAACAAACGCTGCGACTCATCTCGGTGCTCATAAAGAGAAACGGCAGGCTGGTTTATTTTTAGGTTGAGGCATGTGTGCTTTGCCAGTTTTCTTCATGGTAGTGCATTTACAGCAACTGACAAATATGCACTAGATTTTTCATTATCACAAGTTACAGCTAAACCTTTATGACAGGTGTGGTTTAAAAAACAGCATGAATGCTTTAAAAGAGAGGTTCAAACCTTCACGCACATGGAGCTTAACAATGTGCCTGCCTTTTATTAGCAACAATGGCAGAGCTTAAAAGCAATGCCTCATACACCTGGTTCCAACAGAAAACTGTAAAACGCTAGAACACCATTCATTCTGCTAAGTAACTTCCTCTTTCCTATTGAGATTGAAGCATTTGCCTCCAGTCCTCTATAAATGTATTCCAGCTCCTAACATACTTGTGCCAGATAATTTATATAAATTCAGCTGGAACAGAGCAAAAATATAGACTGCCCTGGTTCCTTTAAGGTAGGGCTGGAGGGTCAGGCCTGGTCCTGGAGATCTGCCACCCTGCATAGTTTAGCTCTAATCTATATCTGACACACCTGATCCAGGTAATGACGGCCTTTAGGGGCATCTGAAATTTAGAGCCAGATGTGTTGGATCTAAACTTTACAGAGTGGTAGATCTCCAGGACCAGGACTGGGCACTCCTTATCATAACACATAGGAGGCGTCATTGTAACAAACCAGCCACACCAAACTTGAGAATGCACCATGTTTCTCAGACATTAAGTTCAGTACAATGAAACAAGAACAGACTAATCCCAGGTCAGCATTCTGAGAAGGATCATTTTTGGGGCCACTGGAAAAAAATAATATAGGAAGAATATATGAATATTTATTAAACAACTAACCCTGTACAGCAAGGTATAGTCATGCCAACAATGACTTTAATTTTTTGACTGACTACAATGTAAACGCATCTTGTAAACTCAGGAGTATATTTTAATCAGATCATATCTCTGTGCTTCATTATTGATAATCACATGGTGAAAAAAATTGAAACACAATTTATATTGTTTATTTTTTTTATCAATACAATGATTTTCATACATTTCTGTATTCTAAAACACTTATGCATAAATGGCATTCAAGCCTGGTTGATGAAAGTGGCTGTGCACTATAGCAGTGTATTGGTTTACTCCCATTATATGCCTTCAAGATTGCAGATCTTTTGTCACATAATGTTGACATACGGCAACAAAATGCAAAACATTCCCCATTTTATTTATTTATTTTTTTTACAAATTTTAGAGTGCTATAATAGGTTTAGAGTGCTATTAATTATGCCATTTTCAAAAGTAACCAGCGTTTTTCATGCATATTTCATATTTGTGCAGTAAAGTGTAGAGTAAAGAATTAATTTACACATCCTGAAACCATAAGGAACTTAAAATGAATGATACATTTTGATCCCAAGATCTGTACACAAAAACTAAAGCGTACCTTTTTGATCATATTCAGGTTCTCTGGAGGTACATCTCTTCGTCCCAGTGAGTAGGGGGCCCACTGAGTTGGAGAGACCACCTCTTGGCCATTATCTAAAATATTGCTCTGTTGTGAAGGTGTCTGGAAAGAGATGATTGAATGAAAGGGCATGGTACTCAGCACACAAATCCATATCTCATTGAGCACAGCATATAATGTATGTATGGGACACAACTAGACCGTAAGTACAGACATTAGAGAAAATCAGATAAAAACTGTCATTTTGATTTTCATCATCTTGATTTATGTGCATTTGCTACAATATGTGCTATCACATATTAAATTGCTACTAGCTCAAAAACAATGTGATTAACCCTTAAACTCTAAGTATATGTCTAAATGCCATTGCTAAATGTTTAGTAGTCACTGAATAATGCATAGCTGTTACTGATTAATAAGCTTTGAAATTAATAAGTGACTAATAAGCCTAGAGTTTAAGGGGGTTAATGATCTGCTTATACAGTATTGTGCAAAAGTCTTGGGGAATCAGGAAAAATGTTTAAAACTATTTACATGAGCAGGTAGTGTGATTTTGCCAGTAAAAACACTATATGAGATTAGAATAAATACAAATAAACATACATACAGTAAAAAGTAACAAACATTTGTTTAAGTCCATCAGCAGTACACCTGATTTAATTTAATGACTGAATAACTAATCTAGGTATTGAACAGTACTTGTAAAGCTTCCTGGAGAAGATGTTTGGAGAGGTTTGACATAGATAAATGCACAACGTATTGTTTAGTTGTATTTATTGTAATGCTTTTTGTTTGTTTAAATAATAAATACATACTGCCCAGATATATAGCTCTGCTTATCATTTTCTCCTAAGAATTTTGCACAGTACCAACAGACCAAACCAGTAGAACTGTGTGCAACATGTGTAAGCCAGTTAGATATGAACAGACTTGGCCTTCAATTATCATATGCAAGTGTCTCTGTAGTCCCTCAAAGAAAGTCTTACACTGTAGAGTGGCAACAGAGGAGGACTGTAGCCCACAGAGCAAACACAAAGACTGCAGACATGCAACACAGACACCTGAATATAATCACACAACACTGAGAGACAGTGCCTAGTCGGGAAAAGATAAAGTGACGTGTTAAGATTTGTATTAATCTGTGTTAAACAGTGAAATATGAGGAAATAGGAGGCCTGCCTGCCACTACCTTTATAGTGACTTCTAGGGTTACTGCGAGGTGGCTAAAGATCTTGATTATCATTTTGTTTTCAAGCAAAAACTGGCCTAATAAGATAATAATAATGTGTTCATCACACAATTTTAATGCCTCATGCTACACTGAAAGTGGAGCCGATGACACTTTTTTGTATATACTCACATTTGGTAGAGGTAGCCACTGAGTTGTTTGGTTTTCATGCTTTGTGTTATTGTAAAAGTTTATTGTCATGCTTCTGCTGGCATGCGGTGCAGCATAGCCTCCAGAGTACAGCATGCCGAAGTTTACTGTGTTGTGCTTAAGGACAGCGCTCTGATTGGAGGGAAACAACCACATGACATGAGTGAATGGGTGTGCCACACAGAAAGTCAAAGGCTGCTGCTGGGGGGAGGGTACACTGGACTGCACCACATACACTGCGCAGCTGCAACAGAGTGAAGAAGCTTGACCAACAGAACAACAACAACAATACAGTACATCATTACCGCCAACACAGCGAAACACAGCGGTCACATTTATAGAATACTAACAATAACAACAGTGTGTGACTAAGATTAGTGGACAATGAAATATACTATTAGATTGAGTGTACACAGAAACATAACGTCATCTGTTAGCCACACAGTAACACTCATGTACAGTACTGTGCAAAAGTCAGAGACCACCCTTCATTTATTCATTTCCAGTAAAACCATTAAGTACAAGTTGTTCATTACTGAGGAGTGGATAATGCAAATCAAACAAAGAAGCTGCTGGTGTTCTCAGAACATTGGAGTGGACAGACCTCAACATCACTGAATGTGTTTGGGATTACTTGGTTCGCAAGAGGCAGCAAAAAAATGCAACCAACTTCTAACACTGAACTTTGGAGATGTGAAAAGCAACTCTATGGGACTGAAAGGACATGTAGCTGTCAAAGAAGCTGTTACTGAGAAAAGAAAAAGAAAAAATGGATTGTCAGAAACAGAAAATGCAACCAACTCCTAAAGCCCTATTCAGATGGAGTCATTTGCCATGGGGAGGTGGGTTACTGCCAGTTTACCATAGACTGTTTATAACCGATTCGCACAGGACAAGAAATCTCTGTATAAATGACAGAGATGGGAGTGGCTACTTAATTTATGCACAGCCTTCACTCCATAAAAGAGTAGAAAACGTGTAAAAACATTTATTTAATTTTAATTTTCTTACCCTCTTACCCTTCTTAACCATTTATCTTGCTGTCCTAAGTGAATGCAGTGTGTCATCTGCATCACCATTAGTATGGGAATTCACAGCAGTCAATTTCATCAGATAAGATCAAACATTTTTCTGTCATTTTTATGTTTTGAGTTGTACATGTGAGATATTGGCCACAGAGAACACAAGTAAACACTTCTTCGAGTGCCTCCATCTTTTCCATAGAATACAAAAGTGTTTTACAGACATGACAACTTGCACGGAATTAATATAACCTGAACTTATTTCAACAGCTCGTTTTACAGGAGGTAAAAGGCACCGAAATATTTACCGACTGACGGTGCATTCGAATGGGACCAAATTCACTTGAAACTCTGTTAAAAATTACACTACTGCACCTCCCTATGTAAAACTAATCCTGCACTAATCCTGAACTTTGATGGTGTGATGAAACAGACGACGACATCATGACGGTGAAAGGATGCGTAGCTGTCAAGAAGCTGTTACTGAGAAAAGTAAAAAGAACATGTACACTAGAATAGCAAAACGTAGATAGTCAGAAGAAGAAAATGTACCCAACCTCAAATTCAAGACTGAACTTAGAAATGTGGGAAAATCTCTTTTTAAAAGAATTATTCACAGAAAGTAAGTCTCCCAAAAAGAATAGAAGCTGTAATAAAGGCAAAGGTTGGACACCTTAAATGTTGAAAATATTATACTATTATATTAAGTTGTTAAGGCTTATATGTAATTTTATGTTTATATAAATGTTTCCAGCTTTTTTCCTAATGATGAAAATGAATAACTTGTACTTAATGGCCGTTCTGACTGGAAATTAAATAAATTAAGCGTGGTCCCTGATTTTGTACAGTAGTACAGTAACACACAAAACAGAAGGAATTTTTGCTATGGTCTGCTCAATCAGTTGTATTCTGTGATGTTAACCTCCAATAAATGAAACGATGCACTGAGAAAACACCTTTGTTAGGCATCACCACCAGTAAATGAAATTATTGCACTTACTTTGTTCCTGGATTTAGCTGTTGATTTCAAATGTTCATAAGTAGGCCTAAATACATGATTTTGTAAGCCCAAGCTATGATGAGCATGTTTGGCAAAAGATTTCAGTAATGCGCTAAATAAGCACACATATTTTTTGTGAAATAAAATTAACATGTCTTAACATGTGCTAATAAAATGCTGGAATGTTATTCCTTATAGTTGCTTTACTTACCCGGTCTAGTCTTTTTGCCTCTATGTGTCGTAGGAGCTGTTGTCTCCAGTCCACTGGCATTTTGGAGGTCGGGTCCTCTGGTTTCTGGGGTACTGGTCTCAGCTTTGTGTCAGCGTCAGGGCTCTTCTCAGTGCATGTACTAAGATTATAATCTGAAGGCATTTTCTCCAGCAGGGCAGCCATGGTGGGCCGTGCAGACACTGGGCGAGCCTGAGATGCCCCATATGTCTCTGTGCTGTAGCTCCGGGCCGACAGGGGGCGCCGTTGCGTCAGACTTTTGGTGGGGTATCCCATAATGGGCTTTTTAGGTTCTTGATAAGATGAGTATTCCTCTTCATACCTACCGTTCCTCTTGTGAAACTGAGTGTCCACCATGGTGGACAGGCTGTTCTGATGTTCCAGCATGCCTTTGAGCTGTTGAGGCCTGTTGTAGTGCTCTGCCATTTGGTGTTCCTGGGCTTCTGCTACCCTGCGGAACAGTGCCATCTCCGTAGAACTTACCAGGGAGTCTGCTCTTCGCAGAAAGCCTGGACGAGAGCGCTGGGGCTGGGCAGAAAACTGTGGAGTAATTGCGTCTTCAGTGACCGATGGCTGAGAAAACGAAAACATTTGCTCCATTGGCTGATAGCCGCGGTAGCCTCGAGGGCTAACAAGCTCCTTTGGCAGTGTCTTGCCTGGTTGATTCACATATTCTGGGGTGTTGGGGAATGGTGGAGGGACTCTCCTATCTGGTTTCACAACGTCCATGGCTCCTTGAGGGTTGAAGCTTTGGTCAAACTGGTAAACCTTCTTCGGGATAGCAGGTTTCTGCTGTTGAGAATTTTTATTCATGCCGAAGCCATCGAGATCATCATCCAGCATGGGAGCAGAATGGCTCCTGGACATGCTCTGCTCCAGAGGTCCTGGGAGATCTGCTCTGTCCACACTGCCTTGATTCTCTATGCTAGAGCTGTAGCTTTCCAAAGGAATGCTGTACACTTTGTAGGATCCGATATCGATTTCATCTATGCTCTGGGATTTCTTGAATTTGGACTTTACCTCCTTCATCATTGGCGAAAGTCTCTCGGAGCTCTTGCTTATGACCATGGTGGTGCCCTTATTTGGTTCTTTGCGACCCTGAACATGTGAGAAGATGTTGGGCTGACCTTGCTCTGTCCCTGAATCTCTGGAGTCCAGGAAGCCCCAGGCTCCTGTAGAGGGGAAAGTGCCAGGTAGTTCGCCCATCTCTTGCTCAAAGTCCTTGCGGTCAGGGTTGGGGCTGTTCGCAGGGGTGAGTTCAAGCTTGGAGGGGAAAGCAGTGCGGTCCTCGAAAGGGCTGGGAGTCCTCGTCCAGTTCTGCCAGGGGTTTGGGGGAGGGGGAGGAGGCACTTCAGTGTCTGGAGCGTTGCGGAAAGTGTGTGGAGACTGCTCCAGCTCTAAAGGGACCCCCATAATGCGCTCCTGTCTCATCAGAGGCCGTCGCCCATGTGCTGTTGAGGCGCTGCGAGGCTTCGTGCCTAGCATGGGGTTTCCACTGCTGCCACTAGGAGTCTCAAGGGGGGTCTCCTCCGCTACAAACCCTGTGTTGTCATAGTGGGGGGCATCATTCCAGCTGTCAAAGGTGTCACTGAGTGGCCGCCTCTCGCCTCGCTGCTGCAGGGTGCTAGAGGGGGGCGTCTCTCTCTGACTGAGCAAGGGCTTGCTCTCTATGGGCTTTGGGAAAGACTGAGCCAGCCTGAACACAGAACGAAATGAAAACAAGAAAAGAGGAATCTGACTTTATCAAGGACCCAACCCAACAAACAAAGAACTGGCTGAGATTTTTGAGAATAACTTGGTCCAGTTAATTTCTGGGAGGACACTGCACTGTCCATCAAAAGAAAGGAAATTTGGCTTTTGGCAAAAAACATTTCAATGATACACCAGACACAACAGAGACTCCAAACTCCAAGGATGATACAATAACAATAAAAAATGAAAAAAAAGGAATCCTCAAACAAAAGTTCTTTTAATCATTTGGCATTTTGGCATTTCCTTTGGAACTGACAAACATGACAATACAATACTATTATACAAATACAATAGCATTACACTGCCTTGCATTACCCTGGTAATGCTACTTCAGGTAAGCTTATTGAAGTGACTAATACACTTACCATTAGCAAGAGGGGGTAACATATGTTCTTTGCTTATGACCATGAAAAAAATAATAATAGTCATAGCAGCCTTTTAGGCCTGGATCATTATATTTGGTCCACTCAGTTATATTTGTCCTTACCTTATCTGTGCACGCAGAAGTGACCTCATTTAATTCTCACTGCAATTTCTTAAGACTCTGTGGGATATACTGCATTTTGTTGCAGGATTAGAGCAAGGAAGAAGACATTATTTTAAATAGGGGTCGACCGATTATCAGCGTGACCGATGATTTGAGCTGATATTCGGCATTTTTCCGATTATCAGAATCAGAATATGAACTGCCCCACCTACACCTATTGGATTGATGGAAATGTGGATGATGCATAATGTCTCTGTGTCCTGCCCCATGTCGAGAAAATGGAATTTTTCACTTTTGAAAGAGACACGTGAGGGAATGAAGAAGGACCTGCTCTGCTCCCACAGCGAGAGAAAAAGGTAAAAAAACAAGTCACGGTTGAACAAAGTAGTTGGCAGTGTACTTGGTCATATAACTTCGCTCACTCTAGTCAAACAAACGTGACTCGTGTGCAGGTCGAGCCCTGCCCAAAACATCACATTAGTCTGGTGAGTGAGGTTTCTGTGTATAGGAGCAGACACGATGTGTGGACCCACACTGCTTCTGTAGCTAGTAGTTTGAGCATGTTCGGAATGTGGGTGATTACAGTGGAGATTCAGTGGGCCAACTATGCAGGCAAGCCTCCAGAAAGTGGTAAATTACTAGTAAAAATCATAATGTATCGTTTTACGTTTAATAAACAAGTTCTACATAATTTCCGGTCATTTTCATTTCTATTTTCATTCGTTAAAAGTACAGACAGCTGTAGCTCTGCTTAGGCTAAACGAGTCGTTACCATGGAATCAAGCATCGACTTTTCAAGAGCCAATCAGAATACATCTGATACATTTAACACATCCAACTACTGCTGGCATAAAATACATTTTTGGTTGAACAAAATGAAATAAATAATAAATAAATGAAATGCATGATTGCTCAGATGTTTACTGTAATATTTACTCTAACACACAGTTCTGTGTATTTGATTAGTGTTGACTTTATACAGTTTTTATTTAGATTCACTTGCATTCCTATACTGAAAAGGCAAGCTCTGCTCCTGATGTGTCAACACTGTCAATGACTCATACTACATATCTGTTTTATATAAATATATATCTAATTTTTTTAAAGTTTTTGAACCCCTTTTTTGAGCACAGACGTCATTGACTATTAACCATCATTGAGAGCTATTGAAGTCAATTTGTTTATCTGTTTATTATCTTAAAGATAATTTTAAAATGTCCATGTTACTATTTTTGCAGCGTATACTGTCTAAAGCTCAAAGCACCTTAATTCTTTATAATGTTCTAATATTCATTTAAAGTAAGTGAATAAATTTTCACACTACAAACATCAAATATATGGTAAATGAATATCAGCCCCAAATATCGGTTATCAGTACCTTTGATTACTAATAACCGGTATCAGCCCTGAGAAAAAGGTATCGGTCGACACCTAACTTTAAAGTGAATTTCCAGCTTCTACCAGGAGAAACAGCAGTGGATTTCTAGTAGCATTTTAATGAGGATATCACTAGAGGAGTTGTCCTGCTGACCTTGGCTCTGTGTGAGAGAGCCATGGTGATGGGAGCTCTGCTGAGACCCCTCATCTTCTTAGACATGCATGTTTAAGAGAGATAAAAGCCATCTTGAGTACTCTTCTGAGTACCACACTTCCATTTCCTGAGTTATCTTCCACTTGATGCTAATTGATATACTACATGAATTGTGCACATCTGCTCCGTAATATAGGGATCAATAACAGAAAATAAAGCCACTGTGAAGGGAAAAATCAAAGCGTTTTTGGCATAATATGCAAGATATGAACAAGATATGATCCTAGCAATTGGATACCAGCAGTCACTGCTCAGAGATCTGTGCTTCAAACCAGTTCTGTTTCTGTAATTGATTCTCTCTTTTACACATAGTTTGCTTCAGCAAAGACACTGAATATTTGCCCCAGACTCAGAAACTGCAATCATATCTTACAATTTGAAACTAGGTGCTTTTAGCATTTGCTTTAGGTTTCTAAAAATAAAACCTGTTGGATTTTGTGGTTTTAAAGATTTTCTTTCAAGTGATTTAGCGAGCCTAATGACAGTGGATAATACATAACTTGATTGCATTTAGGTATGCATGCATGTACGAATTACACTTTCCAATGACTGAAAGCTCAAAGAGAATCTTTTTGAATGAAAAATCTCATGAGTAAAAAAGCTATTCAAGGGACATTAAGGCTTGTTTTGAATTCCCTTAATTCACTTAATCTGTGATCTGACTGCTTTGTAGTAGATAAAAAGGAGAAGTCTTTTCTTTGAGGCTTTCTAAATGCTTTGGCATCATTTTTAGGCCACCACAGAGTCAATAAATAAGAAAGCTAAGTGAATGTATAAAGTGTCATGTTGTTCAATTGCACAGATGTGGTATCAGTTGAGATAAATTAATGCTGGCAGCCATGAAATGTGTCGATCAGTCGTTGCCAACCTGTTAGTCCAGTGAGTCTGCGTCGGGCCCTCTTTGGCAGCACTCTGCAGGGAACTGACATTGCCAGGGGGGTTGGAGGACCCAGAGGAACCCTGCGAGGGCGAGTAGTCGGAGTAGGTGGCGGAGGATCCACTGTTGTTCAAGCAGTGCATTTTGTCTGGGTCTGAGTCATCTGTGGATTCTGAATGGCCAAAAAAATGGCAAGAAACATATTAATATTATACATTTCACACCCATAACTCATAGCTTATAATCTTTCTGTTTAAGATCTAATCTGTATGCTGTACTAAGTGCCCGAGGATCCAAACTGGAATAATAGTTTCTATTCCCAATTGCAACAAAAAACACTTTTTCACTCAGCGTTTAATTATGCTGCACTATGTAATACATGGCCATTGTAAAACTAATTTTTTTCAGTCTCAAAGGGGGCGTGTATTTTTTACAATACAAAACAATATAATTTATTCAGTACATCAAAGGCTTATAGCCTCCAATGATAGAATAGGTTTGTATGGCATGTTAAGAAAGAGGCCATGAAGTAAGAGGCAGAAGCAAAATGCAAAAATGTAAGATTCAACACCAACTTATGTTGAGAACACAAAGACACACCAAAAAGTGCCTCTACTAGATGTCTGAAGAGTTTAATGGCTCTAAAAACTACCTTGCAGAAAGTTGTCAGTCAAAATGCTTAAGAATATGTAAGCTAATACTTGGCACATTGTTTTACAATAGTTTTAAGAAAAAGGTTTGGCCTAAAACGTGCTTTACAAGCCATTGAGATGTACATGCAGGGCATTCTCAGGTAAAATAGTACCCAAAGGAAATATTTCAACATTTTGCCTTTTTTACGTATAAAACTCAGAAGACACTTGTAGGTTCACTGGTGATTTTGGATAGTGAGTAAAATCGCCATATTTGATGTAGACATTGCAAGCCCTGGTTCCCATCACCACCACTGTAAAGCAATCTGAGTAAGTTTCTCTACTATTAACATTTCACATCAAAACACTTCGAATAACGTACATCTCAATAACTGAATTATGCCGAAATTTAAAAAATCAGTGGAATTCGCTTTTAAATCTGACCATTTCCAGAATACCTTTTTTGTCCTTTCCCAGCAGTACGACCTTTGGCTTGTACATAGGGGGCTCCACCAGAGTCGGCCTCATGTCAGAAATTCGGATATCGTTAGGTGAACCTCCCATAGAATCCTGGGAAAATAAAAGAAAAATTCTTAAAACTATTCCCAAACAAACTGACCACACAAAGACTGAAGTGGATTTGGGGGTTTAAGACTTATGGAGGATGTTCTGATAATACTGACTTTGCTTGATAACATTCAAACATCAGCTTAACCTCTCTCTGGTCTCCACATAATTTATTTGCATCAGGTCGTATCTAGAACATAGATGAAATGATTGTAATAGGGCATTTTGACCTTGTGACATTATGTTAATGTTGATTTCACATTTAATGTTTAGAAACCTTAATATTCTGAATTTCATCTGTCTTAATATATCCATAGAGAAATTTCAGTGCTTCTGAAGTAAAGCAGCTTCATAGCTGTGCTGCATATGGTTACACTATCCTATTCATAACATATAGGACTCATATGATAAAAATAATGATCAAAATAAAAAGGCCCTATTATTGAATGCGTCACAGACATTGCATTTCTATTGCATTTACATAAGCAGTAGAGTTGTGTTTTTAATGCAGCTGTGCTGCAAATGTTAATTGCAAGTGAGAGAGACATGCAGAAACATTGAGGGACCTTGTTAGCATCTAACAGGGTGGGTGTAGATTATTAGTCTTAATATTAGATAAGACTTGGTTTCCCTAATTACACATTATGTGAACTGTACACATCAGCGCACCTGTTAAAAAAAAAAAAAAAACTGACACATCTTGGATTATGATACATACAGAGACCCTCAGTGCCTACAGAGAAGGCCTAACGATTTCTGGGAACTAAAAAAATGCAAGTCTGTAATTTTTAGTTTTTTATCTAATATAATCATGCTTGTCCCAGATATGCCACTGACTGAATATGAGTGGCAGTTTAAACAGTGGGCTGTTAGAAATGAAAAACAGCAGCAGCAGCTCTGCACCAGAACTCTCTACTGAAAGAGTTACTGTGAAACGGCTACAAGGGAAATATACGCTAATATGTCATAAGCTTGAAGTGAAACGTCTTTTAGAAGCTTTAAATGCTTGTGTTTAATCAAGAACTGCCTTTTTCAAATTTTCTATCCCACTTTAAATGGTGCAGCTGTTACATTCTGGTGCCTAAATGTGCCAAAATGTAAGTGCTGCACTGTTTAAGGTGGAATGGAGAAAGTTAGCTTCAGCCTTGTCGGAAAATGTTAATGCAAATCACTGATAGATTGGCGCTAACAAACTACTAGAATCCTATTGGTGCGCTAGCAGAAGTTAGCATTATCTGTATTATCGGTTTTTTCCTCATGTGTTGACCAGATCTTGACATTTATGGCCCGAACTGAAGGCCTAGCTCTAACAGTCATGGTTCGCCACTGGATACATAGATATAGTAATTCAGTGTAAAATGTTTTGATCCACAGAATGAAAGAAAAAGTGCACTGATAAAACTATAGCTATATTGTATGTGCAATAAGAAAATAATCATATTGCACGTTTAATATAGCTATAGTGCTATACTGAATGTGCAATAATCTTCTCAGATCAGTATCTTGTCTTACATCGTGGTTTATAGAAGCCTGGAAACAATGAAAATGATAAGACCTCCGTCACAGGCTTTAGTTAACTGCAGCTTAAGAAAGAGAGTAATCTGCAGTCAAAACATCGATTAATGATAATTTTTTACTCCATTTTAATGACTAATACTTTTTCTGTGACAGTCCTTTTCATGCTTCTAAAGCACACAAAACCCATTTGAAATAATCTGATTTAAAGTGATAGTCAGGCAAAGTCAAATTTACACACTTATCCTCGTAACCCAAATGTAGGTGATCAGTAAAGTTGTAGTTGCTGTCCAAAGTTTGCTTCTTTAGTTTCACACTAAAGCTATGGGGCTAATGTAACTAACAATCGAAGCCTACACCCCACCAATTAGCACTCACCTGGCCCAAACTGTGTTGAGGTGTTCAGTAATCTCAAATAGACTTGTGAAAGTGATTTCTGACACTGTATGGTATACTGGAGTAATGAAATAATTGAAGTTCTGGAAGAGGACCATGCCCGAAGCTTTTTGTGAAATCCTACATCCTGTAAACTTCCATATCCATTTTCGCTTCCATTTTTCTATGATTTTTTCTATGAGTGTGAAGTTTTCACACTGCACCGCCACCCCCATCACTGGGCTGCTCTTTAGGCCCATCTCTAAATCCTACTTATAAATACATAATTTGGATAACCTCAATCAAATTACAGGTTTTATTGATTTTCTCAGTGAAAATAAGCTCATACATCCTCTGCAGAGAACACACTTACATATATATCTAATCTAGTTTATCTGACCCCTTATTTCATGGAGATGGACATAGCTTTTCAAAAATATGTATATCAACTCATCTTAGTATTTCTATAGCTTACCTCAAGTATCTGAAAAAGGCATGTGTAGTATGGGATAAAAATTTAATTGTGTTTTATCCTGAATGTGTGAAATGCACTGCAAAGAATTTACAAAAGCATGTTGCTTTTGTTTTAGTCACAAACAGCATTTATATGAACTGAACTCTCGGAAACCATATCAAACGTGCTGAACATGTAGTAGTGTTTAACTATGTCTCGGCTGACCAGCTCAGACAGCTAACAGGCTAAGAGGTTCCTTCAATATTATTCGGAGATAGGCTCTGTTAAAGCTTAATATTTATAAGGTTTTACTAAAAAACTGCAAAACAACGTAAAGAACATGTTACATGTACAGTACAAAAGTCTGAACACCCCCGGTCATATTACAAGTTTTGTTTATTTGATAAGTGAAAAGTTAACACATTCTCTACAGACAGCACACTTAAATATATCAACTTTATGTACAAATTTTAGTGCACATTTTCTATTAATTTGTTAAAAATATTGAAACAAATAAGATATGAAACATAAAATGTTTCATAACTTTTTTTGTGCCACATTTTTCCCCAACATGTTACATTCACCAAATAAACAGTAAGTGTGTATTAAAATCTGTAGAAGTGTGTTCTCTATAGAGGATGTGGTAACTTGTTTTCACAATCAACAAAACATAATTTGACCAGGGGCACCCAAACTGTTGCATACGAATGTCTTACAGGATGTGAATGTTTATGTAGAGCTGCCATAAGTAGTATTAAATACAGCATGGAGAAGCGAAGGTAAACCTCAGTTAGCTTGGTAATATGGCAATTCCCGTAGAGGTGCTAATGAAAATTAGCATTTGTTAACGATAGAAAGTGGACAAAACAAGAAGGTTATCAAAAGACAAAATGCATCATTTTAAGAAGCTCTAGTTCAAAACAAAAGGAACTCTGAACACCAACATGTCTTGTGTGATTGACTACATTTGGGATAAGGGGAGTTCTTCACTTTGATTAGTTGTGTGAGCCTAACTTTTACCATGTTTATAATGCATATAAACTCCTCTACTTTTGCACGTTTGCTCAGGTCACATCCCTCTGGAGCAGATCAGCCGTCTGGCTCACAGCTGTGTGTTCAGCTCACACTCTCCCAGCCCTGCTGCTGTACATCGGCACAAGCAGCTGCAGAGCAGGACAGAACCCGCACCATCTGATCACCTCACACAGTCAAAACATCACTCTGTGTGGCGGCACACTCGTTTCAGGCCAACTCTTTCCATTTCTCATCCTCCTGTACTCGTTTGCTCATCCTGTCTGCCTGCGTCTGCCTTGCCTTCCTCACAGCAAGCCAAAGCAATATTAATATTTCAGTAAGCTCTCAGTGACTGCGGGCAAATTATTATGGGAGGCTCAAGCTTTCGCCATGTTATTGAGAAATATTACATGAGAAAAATGCCATGAGAAGGCATTTGATGTGCTTGCCATGCTATCACACTGGCTAGTGGGAGAAAATTCCTTTCACCTCTTATACTACATAAATGGCTAAAAGCAGTCAAGTAATGATATTTTCGATATTTCATGCTTTAAAAATGTATAGTTTTCAATGTCTCCTGCATTAGCCCTCTAATAAAATAAGCCCCAAAACAGCAACCCCTACAATTTATAAGGCATTTAAACCTGGATGTGTGTACAGCATAAGCCCTGACCCCTCCCCACCCATGCTACTCTGATAGGATACACCCAGTTGCCTAGTTTTGATCATCAATGACAAAGATTTCCACAAATACAAGACCAGATAAGGCTGAATAGCATATCTGCAATACAGCTTTACAGTTCATATGTCAATTTTTTTTAGATTTATGGAAATCGTTACACTTTTAACTAAAAGCTATATACAAAATCTCATGTGACTCTCAGTAACCATACATACAGTATGCATATTTCCTTTATTCTTCCCCATAAATGGGACAAGGGAGAGCAGTGTTTGTTTTATCCGTCTTGTTTGCCTTGCAGGCAGTTAAAAGTCACCCCACTGGTGATTGACTGCTGTCTGGTCTCTCAGCCACTTACTATGAGGCAGAAACACGAAGAGGAAGTTACGGCCAGGCTCGTATTCTCTGGCTGTTGAGGCTTGGGAACGACGCGATGTAAAGAAATCTAAGCAAAACAAACAAACATACATACATACAAACAAACAAACAAACAAAATGGAGGGTTTTCATGGTCTAGAAAGAAAAGAATGTGTAAGAAGCATGGGGTCATGGCATCAGTGCCCCCCAAGGTCTCATAACCCTGGATGTTAGGGCATTACATGTGCTATATTTTGGCTACAGGGTCTCTGAGACTGTGGGTAGTAGCAGTGTTGAGGCCATACCAAGCTGTAATGGACACAATACACCACACAGCTGTGTGCTATTCTACACAGACAGCTATTGCAGAAAGCATAGGAAAGCCTGGAATAAATGCGAATGGGCATGAGTTGCTGTGTTCACACAATTCCCTGAGTCTTAGCTCAGCTCAGAAGCCTCCTGTAATTCTGCAGAATTCTGCTGCTCTGATGTGAAAATTAATCAATACGAAGCCTCTAAAGCCAAACTCTGATTTTTACAGACATTTTGTTTTCATTAACCTTATGGTATATTGACATTTTAGGTCCCCCAGGAGGTCGGAGCAGCTTTCTTACCCCTCCAAAAGCCAAAATGAGGGGTTTTGATTCAAGTGTATGTGAACAATGTCTGTGTAAACAGAGCAACAGGAGCTTTTTCCAAGTTTTGACTGCTCGATCTAGCAACCAGATCTTGATCTTGATGGAGGTTATACACCTCCAAGAACTTCCTTTAGTTTTATCAAGTGGCATTTTGTGGTAAAACCACTGAGGAGGATCCTCTGAGTGGATTTTGTTTTCTCCAGTTTAGTTAGGCCAGAAACATATTTCACGCAAGGATGCGGACGCAGCAGCTTCAAGCTTTGCAAACACAGTTTCGCACGTCATTGCGTTCTAAAATGTGTCACGACGCAATTCATAATGCAACACAGACGCAAGCTGCATTCTGAGTATTACCGTGGGGGTGCAGTGCAGCGTCAGCCAAGCTTGGTCAAACTTGTACCACCAGTGTGCTTTCTTAACCATTAACTGTCATAGCAGACAAGCAGTTCCCTGGCATGAACATATATAATACACCACCTTCATTCCAATAGAACAAGTAAAGCAGCGAACATATATAATACACCACCTTCATTCCAATAGAACAAGTAAAGAAGCTCACACTTCTCTACTGTCCACATGTGACTGTTAGAATCATGACAGTAGATCCCGCCTTGGGCCCTTGAGCACAGAGTGTGTTAACTGCCACAGTAGTGTAAGGACGCATTGTTAGTTTGTGCATAAGGACAGTGCGTTTGCAATGTGTTTGCAGGGCGCTGTCATTTGTGTTCTCATACTTGTGTTCAGTATGTTTCTGGCCTTAAAGCCAATTCATCATCACACAGTAGATCTCTGTACTGCACATCAACACCGATACAAAACAGCATCGTCAGTCGCTTCAATCCACTCAGATGAGAGCACTCATCATTTAACAAAGCAAACCTCACCCCATTTTTCGCATATGAGAAAACTGACAGTGACAATGTGGATCCAAACCTGAATCCTAGCGATAGGCCTTCTTGCTCTGTTGAACTTTTAATGGGTGCCACTCAGCAGGCTCTGAGTGTACTTGACATTTAAGACTGACCTTTCCCTCTGTTTGCTCAGTGATCTCGGCTGTGGGCTAAGCAATATTCTGAACGGTATCAAAGGATCAAATCTGCCAATGTGATTCTTTTATGGAAGGAAAATCCACATACATATTGACCTAAAGAGTTTTCATTGACGCAACTTATCTTAAAACTTGACTCATTTATAAATACAAAATGCTGTTTTGGTAACCCCGCTGTACCAAGATCCAACACAAATGCTAAAGACTGTTAACCACTTAAATTCCCAGGTTTATTATATCTTACTCCAGCTTATTATTCAGTAATTACACAGAAAACAATGCAAATTGGCTTAATGTAACGTAATGTAATGAAAATGTAAACTGAGTTATTCTTAAGTTATAGGAGTGAGGAATTGAAGCCTGAACCCACTGGTTGTTAAAGTGGTTAAACAGTAAATCTAATTCTAAATGAAGTGTAAATCACCGCAGAAGCAGTGCTAGGGTGCAATGACTTTGAATCTGTAGTCCAGCTCTGCTCTAATCTACTCTGCCCATGAGGAGAGCTAATGAATTTATCATTCTCCTGCCCCCTAAACAAAGCGCTTGTGCTGGCCTGGCCATCAGAGGGCATCAGGATTTGAGAGATGAAACGTTCTCATTGATGTCTGCTGGGTTCATCCCTGCGGCCCGTTCTCCAATATGTTGACTTTTGATGAACACCGCCTGACATTGTGTGGGGCTTGCCAAACACCCTGGAACTGCAATCATAAGCCCTTATACTAACAATAAAAACATGTTAAGAGATGTCCCTTCAATCTGAACTGTACTGGACGCTCTCACATCTTTGATAGTCTTCTCTAAACTCACTTTCTCCATTCCATAGACTCAATCTCTTTTATCTCTGTAACTGATGACAGCCAGTATATAAATCAGAGAGGAGCTTGAGACAGCCTTGTACTGCTGAAAATGATGCAATATTACTGCTACATATTGCACAATTTAATGTTTTAGATTTACAAACACATATACTGTCAAGAATACCAAGATGCCTTTGCTTCTACAAAGATCAGACAAACACCACAGAAAACTAGCTGTACCTCAGAGCTCTCATTTAGATCCTCTTTGTCCTTTCGCTTTGGGATGTCGATGGCTGAGTTCATGATGACAGCTTGCTCTGGCATCGGAGGCTTGGAGAAGTCTTTAACCTCTCTGTCTGTCACCTGCCAAGAGTGTACACCCAGTCATGTGTCGTATGTCTAATCAATTATAATGAATATTAAGAATGACGAGAAAGAAGCTAGTAAGTCCACAGAATTAGGCCAGAAACATACCATACGCAAGGACACAAAACGCAGACGCTTCAAGCTACTCAGTTAGACACAACCAAGCCTGGACAACCGGTCTTGTACTGCCAGCATGATTCCTCCTGGTCAACTGAGCAGTTGAGTCTCACACAAAAATAGTTCGCTTAAACATTAACATATATGTATATACAATACATTATCGCCTTTTAATTCCAATGCAGCAGGTAACACAGTTCACTATCCTCTATGGTCCACTTTGTGTTGTGTTGCTGGAATAACAGTAATTGTGGCTGTTAGAATAACAGAAGATTCTGCTCTGATTTGTCCTCTACCACTGCTTTGAGTACTGAGTGCTTTGGCCGCCCCAGTAACACATGGCAAGTTTGTACAGACAGACCATGGCATTAGCAATGCACTTTGCATTCACATACTTGCGTTGAGTATGTTTCTGGCCTTAATGTGATTTTGCAGCCAATTTGCATAAGTTTAGCCATTACAGTCAGATCCACCAATTAACACTGTGCAAACCTGATACCTAAATTATCACACACTTGCCTCAAACTGTGTTGAGCTGCAAAAAGACTTGCTTGTGTGGCTTCTGACACTGTATGACATGCTGTTCTCTATAAAAATGGACAAAATTTGAGGTTTTAAGGGCTGCTCCTACTGTTTTAAACTATGCACTTTTTAAACTGTGCACTATGTACTTTTGCCCATGTTGATAGTATGTCATGCAGTGTCAAAAACAGCATAAGCAAGACTAATGAGATTACTTCACTTTGTGGCGTGGTTCAAGGCAAGATGTTTTAAGTGACCATTTCTCATGATTTCTGGTGCCTATTAGTCTTGCGGTACCACAAAGGATCTAACAACGAGAATACACCTCTGGGGACAAATCGTTAAATGTTTGGTGCTGAATAGCAAAGGTACGCCCCACCTTAACCCGAACCCCAAATTCCTCTAGCTTGCCTTTTTTAATGTCCAGAGTACAATAGATAACACAAGCAAAACATGCGAGCTAGAGAAATGCCATTGTCAGATTACACAACTGGTTTTACTTTGCATGAGGCAATGTTTATTTTTACTGCACTGCATGTGTTTTCCATACATACATTACATATATACATTCTTAAGTGGAGTTTCTTTGGGGGGGGGGACTTCGATCCATGGGCTAACGACAGGCTCGTTTGCTCCATCGGACAGTGTTGAAGAGTGCATCACCCCTTACTTTGAGCTTCGTATTCAAGGTTTAGTTTCGGACTTTCACACTCAGTTTGTTTCCACTTTAAAGTATTCTTAACCACATTTAGCCCAAAAATTCTGATGGTTGTCCCCAGACATTCTCGTTACGAGATTACATCTGGCCCTATGATAATAGGTGGCTTAAAGCTTGCATTTTTTGTTAAGCCTAATTCCATTACTTGCTAAGCCACATTAGCCCCTGTAGTTCCAGTGCAAACTTAACCCCTTAAAATCCCAGACTTATTACATACTAAGTCTTATTATTCAGTAACTACAGGGACTTCAGTGCAAACTAGCTGAGCTATATTTAGGTTATAGAAGTGTGTAATAAAAGTTGGGCCTGTGGGCATGCTGTGGCCATTTAAGTGGTTAAAGAAGCAAACTTTAAACACCAAACATGTCTTAATAAACCTTCAGAGCCCATGTGTGATCTTTAGTTTATCACTCTCATTACTACATACACCAACATTCAAAAGTGTCAATCACAATTCAAAAATTTGGCATCACCGTTTTCAATAAAGGTTTTAAGAGTGTGGCAGATAAATATCTGAAATGATAATATAATGATGCCACTACTCTACAGCTTCACAGATTAGTAGGAAGCTGTGAAAAAAGAAGAAATGTTAGATGGGTCCAAATGTTAGATATGATTGGTGCTCTTAAAAAAGCTGAAATATTGAATGAAACACACTGAAATACTTTCTGGTGTGTAGCTAATAGTATTGCCGTCTAAACTTATTCAAGTTATTACTGAATAAAATAACAGCGATTATTAATATGCCTAATGATTCCAAATTTTTGAACACCGGTACAACTTACATTTTTATAACAGTTGTAAAAGTCTTTATTATTCCTTTTTTATGCTTTATTCCTTTTTTTAATCCTTCTTATCATGTGCTAAGGTTAATACCAATAGTATGTCTCGAGGTTAAGGTGGTACAGGGTAAACTGTGTACATTAGATTTTTCTCTGATCCACTGCTTTAAAATGTTTTCTCAGCTAGATTTGCATTGTACAACAGAGGCATATACAAAATTAAAGCAGACACATGCTTTAGTGAGCTGACATGTTATACCTCCTTGGGTGCAATGGGCCACTTGGGTTCATATTTGTCTTTGTTGATGAGCTCCATGTTGGTGCCAGAGGAGTTGGTGCCAGAAGAGCTGAGCGGGTGAGTGGTTTTGCCCACCATGTTCTGCACTGACTTAACCATGTTCTTCAGGTCCTCAGGGTAAGGGGTGGGATATCGTTTCAGATTAATCTCAACCTACGGAGAGAGAAGGGGGTGCGAGCAGATTTAGCTTTGGAATCTCCTGGGAAAATGTAAGAGGAAGTGAGAAAAATAGGTAAACTGAAAGATAAACTGTGTTTATATATATATATATATATATATATATATATATATATATATATATATATATTATTCATACGAAAATTGTCTACACATTCTAATCAAGTACATTCAATGTATTATTTTTTCATTGAAGTTAAAGCTCATTATCAAACAATATTTGATGATAAAGGATTGAAAATGAACACACAAAATTTGCCAGGGGGACCTTGACTTTTGCAGAGTTATCCTCGTCTTCCTTCTTGTCCTCAAAGTCGAACGCTACAGTCATCCTCTGCTGTCTCTGCTCCTCCCACAGAGCAGGGTTGAAGCTGTCGCTGTCCGACTGGTAATCTGCAGGACACATACAGTGTGAGACGTCTCATGTAAAAAACAGCTAATAAAATCTATACACACGTGAACATAGCAGACAGGTTTGATTTTTGTTCACCCTCATCGTGCCGAGGCTGCTGAGGGAACATGTAGTTGGTGAGGACCCTCTGCTTAGTCTCAGGGTGGGCCTCTGTTTGGAGGGGGATGAGGGCCTTGGACTGTAAATCATTTCAAAAAAGGCCATCAGACTGACACAATATCCAGGACTTGCACAAGATTAGCCATGTAATCTACACTGACCATTCAGTGTCAACCAATATTAACCAACCAATGTTACACCATTTGCTTTATTAAAACCACCTACTATGTACTTCCACTCACTTGCCACTTAATGTGAACCAAATGTACACTATACAGATGTACAATTAAAGATCATAGCTTTTGCAGTGCACTTTGTCAGCCACCCTCTACTCCACATTGGTCATTGGTCATTATATATATACAGTACTGTGCAAAAGGAGTTTTACCAGTGGCTAGGCTTACAGCATTCTTAGTATATACAGGTACTTACATGTTTATAATACATACAAAAATATTATTATTACACATAGTATTTACATACTATACTGTGCAAAAGTCAAGAGACAACCTTGCATTTGTTTAATTTCAAAATGGTAATAAAGCAAGTTATTCATTTTTTCTCATCAGGAAAAAAACAGAGAACACATAATAATTACACATAAGCCTCAGCAATTAAATATAATAACAGATTTTTTAGTACCTAGCATGTCTACCCTTTGCTTTATGTACAGCATTCATTCATTTGGAGTAGACTTTTAGGCTTTCAGTTTTCAAAGAATTCTACAGGGATGTTTTTCCAGACCACCAAAGTTCAGAAATTGGTTGCATTTTCTGATCCCTAACACATTCAGTAATGGGGTGGTCAGTCCATTGTTCTGAGAACATTAGCAACTTCTTTGTTTGATTTGCTTTTAATTTTCTTCTTTTTCGTCTATTTCCTTTTCCCTGTAACAGCTTCTTGACAGCTATGGATCCTTTCAGACTCATAGTGACTCACAGTTAAAGGATGGGCAAAAACTTCTTCTCCTTCTCCTCTCTCTAAAAGATGAAATACTGTTGATGATGGTGACAGTTTTGGTGCTCTACCAGGTCTTGTATGGTTGTTAGGACTCTCATTTTCTCTATTTTTTGAACTGCAGTTTTAAAACTCCTGTTTTTTTTACTTTGATTTTACTTTGACTTATCCCTTCCTTCTGCTAGTGGATTACCTTATATCTAATCTCCTCAGAAATATCTGTTTAAAAAAAAAACTTATAATTAATGGTTGTTTTATTTGGAAATTTAATAAATGAAAGGTGGTATCAGGCTCAGAGTTGTTGCTGGGGTTTTTCCATGTCAGTGTCACTGCTAGGTTGAAAGTGGCCCACTACTCAAAAAATACCTAGCTAAGAGCAGCACAGAGGTCAGAAACTGACCACTAATGAAGAACTGAAACTGTGCATGACAACAGACAGGTGGAACTTCTCGCAAGGTCAGTGTTTCTAATAAAGTGGCACGTGAGTGTGTACAGAGTTGGGCAGAATACTTTAAAATTGTAGTGATGGCTGAATACTGAATACACTGTCCTAAATGTATTCAGTAATATATTCTATTACAATACATAAAAAGTAATATATTCAGAATGCATTAGAATACATACTGATAGGGCACATGGGAAAAACTCTGCTCGTATTTTTTATTTAATGCACACTTTTCTTCACTCTACTGTCTGGCAGTTTTCTTCATGTAATTCTGGTAATATGTGTCATGAAAAATTCACTTATTTCCATAAAATTATAAATTCTCATTCAACATTATTTTGGCTCTCCTTGCCTGCTTCAGTCTGCTCCCATAATCTCGCTGCCATCTCATGAACTAAGCAAACAATTCTCCCAATAACGAAATCTTGCACATTTCCCTATAAAATACCTATGTGATTTTCAGTTAATGACATGCATGTCACTTGCCACAAAGTGCAATAAAACACTAATGTTGTGCTTTTCAGTTATGAACATGTTCACTACTGAGGAGATTCTTCAGTTGCTCACCCCTAAAAAGAGCTCAGTAATGCTGAGATGAATAACTGGCTCATCACCTTGATTTGTCAGTCTACTCAGGCTTTAGAAGGAACTTCAGTGTTTGTAAAGAAGCTGTTTCTTTGCTAGAGCATGTCTTTACATGCCATGTGCTGATTTTAAAAAACGTTTGTAAACAAGCACTGATGGTGTTTCTTTTAAAGATGGAATATATCTACTTTTTAATTTAGTTGGGTAAGTACTTAAAGTATTCAGCTAAAAATTTTAAAAGGTAACTGTTTTCTGAATACAGATACTTAATTTCTGCATTCTGTTACATCCCAACCCTGAGTGTATATACATATTTCTATACATACATATAGCAAATTTTAAAAGATGGTTAAAAATAATCAATCACCTGATTGTCAGATAACCAGAGTGCAGCAAGATCTTTCAGTTTAGTGAAAGTGTAGGGAAGATTCTTCAACCTAAAGGAGAACAAACATTAGATCCAACACAGGTTGGATGATACCAGTCACACTACAGCATGGATCATGTGCTTCAAATACAGAAATGCCCCATTCAAAAAAGTCTATACCATAAGAAGAGTAAATCCAGAGTATTTAAGAGCAGTGTGGGGTTGGGGTGGATTCTGTCTGTTTAAGTCAGCCCATTAACTCAGCTCCTTTAATGGCTCTACTGTGTTAAGTGATGGTTGCGTTTAATTACCCAGGATCCAGTTCATCATGGCCAGAGCACCTAAACAGCTCACACAGCTCATAAAGAGCTCACTTAATTAGCCTGCGGGCAGCATGCTTTTCACTCACGCTGGGCCTCTATCTTGGAGTGCCATTAGGAAAACAGCAAACACATTTTTCAGCTGCACATAAACTGTTATGTGTTCATCCAAATTATTTGCATGTATGGCGATGTATGTGTTGATGGGGAGTATTTTTCATTGCCTTGGGCTTGTCCTTTATTAATATTGTTTTGCTGTGCATGAGCTGATATTAGCTAGTATGGCTGTGAACAGTGAATGTCATACCGTGGCTGACAACATTAATACAAATGGGGAAAAAATAGCAGGATCAGGTGTTACCTGTTGTCGCTCAGATTGAGAACACGTAGCTTTGTCATTTGCCCAATTTCATCAGGCAGAAATTCCAGCTTGTTGGACCGCAAGGACATAACTGTCACATTCTTGCAGTTTCCAATCTGCAATAAAAGAGGAGATACAATACCTCTGAAAATGAAAATGTGCAATTCTCTTTTTTTCTCCCCATCTCCGCCTCTTTCCTTCTCCTCTCCCTTGCCCTCATGCGCCCTCTCTCACACTGGAAATGACACTGTAATCTGTCAATACCTCCAGGTTGGTGGGGTTAGTGAAGGGCAGAGAGGTTTCTAGGATTTTGCTACTACACTTCACTTCAGCATATAATGCAGGTTTGCTGCTGAATTGTAAGGACGGAGTAGAGCTGAAACCATAGCAACCAGGCGCACTTCCAACAGCATGGAGACAGAAGCTTGTGTGCAGCTCCAAAGCCGGCTCTGACTGAAAACCTGGCAGGGGCCTGAAAGGTGGGCCTTTGGCACAGAGCCAGCTCCACTCTGCCTCAATGTATCCATCATATGCATAATACATAAATAGGGCTAGTTCTCTTTATGATGTCAGGTAGAACTCTTTCATAAAGGCTTTTTAAAACCTCTTTCATAAATGCTATTTAAAAAAAACAATCAAAAACGGCACCACAGACTAGCCTATTTCGGCTAACCCCCTTGTGTCGGAAATCGAAGCTAGTATTTTTAGTTAACATAATCAAATAAAATATTTCCTGTGTGACTCTGTTATTAGATTAACTAGGACACTGTTGTGAGATACTGTGACTCTGTGTTAAGCTGTTAGTGAGCAATGAGGGGCAAAAGGGGAGGGGTGAGAAGGGGAGGGGTGCAAACAATTCTCTACAAAGATAGCCATGCTAAGATAAAACAGACAGCATAACTGCACCTTTCTTGATATCAACAAAGTCTGAAGTGTTGAAACACAATAATACTTTTGTAAATGTTGATATGCTTGTTCACCTATAAAGATGACAATTCTGTACGCGTCTGGGTATTGGAAAAAACATGCCTAGTTCAGCTGAGGGACCACCAAAACAGGTGGAAATTCAATTTTAGGGGCATGGTGAAGAATGGTGTTAAAACCCAAACAAACAATAGAGAGTTAACCTTTACTGGGTTAACCTTTACTGGTTTAAAAGGGCAGATCCTAAACTTTCAATTAATACTGTATTTTGGTTTGTAAGTAGAAAAAGGGGGTGTTTTTTATGATCTGACGTTATTGCTACAGTAACAGTTTTATTTTGTGGCAGGAAAACGATCCTTTACATTGTTGCCATGATTTTCTTATTTAAAACAAACAAAGAATTTGCAGCATGAAACCTGTCAATATAGAATATAAATCTAATTTAAATGCAATATTAATAACATAAAACGGCTAAACGATAGTAATAACTCCAGAGTTAATGACATGGTTTGGTATCTTTTTATCCAATTTTAGGGATTAGGGCAGGAGCAGTAAACTCCAGTCCTGGAGGGCTAGAGTCCTGCACAGCTTGTGGTTTTCCTATTCAAACACACCTGATTCAACTCAACAGGTAAGTGCCAGGTTTAGCAAGGATTGTTAAGAGCAAGAAAATCACCAAACTGCTGGACACCAGCCCTCCAGGACCTCAGTCTGCATGCAACTCATGGATTTGGGCCTTCTTCAAGGGTGCATTGACAGTTTGCAGAAGATGGTCAGCGAGAATATGTTCTTCCTCTCACTTTCCTTGCAGTTATGGCACTTTATGGCAGAAACCTTCAAGTGCTATGCTGTCATGGCTATGGCAAGACTCCTCAGATAACAAAGACAAACCATTTAGAAGGACAACATTTTTCATGTTTAAATGGTTGCACAAAGAACCTTTAAAGATGCTTTCATCTGAAGAGGCAACATCGATCTGTCTCATGCTAGGGGCCTGGTGGCAGGGCCTATGTTTGAGAGGAGAGAGAAAATGTGGGAAAAGCTTTGATCTCTGTGAAGCTTACCTCTCTGGGCAACTCCGCCAGGAAGTTCTCATCAGCTGCAAAGGTTCGGAGACTGTGCAAGTAGCCGATGGTTGGGGGCAGGGACTCCAGTTCATTACAGCTGCAGTCAAACTCCTCTAAAAGTGATAAACTGAGAAAGAACAGTGAAAGAAGACAATTGTGGTGATCACAAACGCCATCTATAAAGACAGCTAAACACTGAAGAGTAATGCATTGAACTGACCTGATTCCAATATGTACATCTAATCAATATGAATAGAATATATTAAATCAACACAATTTTGTCTTTACTTACTTTTGGCAGTAATTGTGTTGATGTAATGCATTTTATTCATATGGAAATGTACACATTCATCACTTTTTCAGTGTATGTGTGTCCCCATGTACATCATAATTTTACCAGTGGACAGCGCCTATACATATATTCTAACAGCACTACGTGGCCCTAATTCAAAATCTTTTTTTTTCCTAATTCAAAAGTTTTTGCAGAATTTTCTACACATTTCCTAAAATATTTACATTTCAACAGACAGAATGAATTCACGTACAGAAAGCAGGTAACACTTTATGTAAACTCTACTACATAACACTGACAAAACCCTGCCTTTAACATGTCATGGCAGATGTCATATGATGTCATGACAAATTCAATAATGTAAGTGTCATGTTACCTTTACCAGTAATTGTCATGACAGATCGGCATAACGTTTGATGTCATGATGGCTAACTACACAGCAAAAATTGGTCATATAAGTTATATTATTATTATTGCATATTATTATATTACTGAACAAACTTATGACAGCATATGGCAACTGCTGTGTCATGTTTAAAGCACAATTATGCAGGGTTCAAGTAAAGTGTTGCCAGAAAGGGAATACAGAAAATCTTGGTATGCCATAATAGCACACTGTATCATTGATTAAAACCTCAGATTAAGAGGCAGTAAAGTGATTAATGAATAATATGGAGGATATTTGAAGTAATGGCTGTTGATAATGCCTGCTGAAAAAAGATCTGACAGCATCTAAAGGCCTGGATACAGTCTGCTGTGATGCAGCGGTTTGGCATTGTCTTTCAAGGATGTCTTAAAGCTAAAAAGAAAAAAAACTGAAAAGAGAAAGATGCAGGTTTACTTAAGCAACGAGTTCTGGGTAGCTTGTGTTCTGCCACTTCCAAAACATAGCACTCTCATTATAACAGACAAGACAAATTTAACAGCGAGCAAATCAGAGCTGTGTGTTCACTCTGAATTATAAGCTATTTTTTTACACGCCAGTACACGCTACCCTTATATGACTAAGTTGTCACATCTCACTAGTGTATCCAGGCCATAAGACACAGTGCTTAAATGATGACTTTAAAAATGAAGTCGTCTTAGTATGTATTGCTATTACTATCAGAAAAGGACATTCATTCAGTCACATTAAGGGGCCAACAATACTTCAGACATGGAATACTTGTATTCTTGTATTACACATAGCAGATAAACAATAAATGAAACTTAGCTTTCCAATAATACACTAACATTGATTAAATCTAAGTTGGCTTGAAAAGGCCAACTTATGGTGCTCGTATTAAACTCAATCCTTGCTATTGTTTCTTTCCTCTTTCTCAATCTCAGACTCTACGGGCCCTATTTTCGTGCAGGTGCAAGTGCAGTTCAATGGTGTAAAGGCCACTGTGTTGCTATTTTGTTTCAACACAAGTGCGTTTTTGTTTGTTTACACTCATGAAATCATGAAAATGTCTTCAAGTATCATTTTGCTATATTTTTGCCATATCGCCCACCCCTACTCCGAACATCATATAATTAATACGATCAGTAGAATTTTGTACCAAGGCAGCGATTCCCTGCTATTACGAAAATGTCTCTGCACTGTGCCACTGGCGCACATTTGTCTCTTAAAGGAAATGAGAGGAGTTAATACAATTGGCTGTCACTGCAGCAGGCCTAACTATGCCTAATATATTCACTCCATCTGCCACGACCCACGTGCCAGCTCTGTGATTTTGCACCTTACTTTTGCACTTGTGCTATAACCATGAAAATAGAGCCCTATTAGTCTTTATTTTACATTTTCAGAGCAAATAAGAAAATCCAATGCCTATATTCTACTCTCACTTAAGCATGTTCAACAGTCTAAATGTCCCCCAATACTATTTATATTTACAGCCCTGCTGATGCACCAAGACCAGGCAATGCTTTCTTTTTCTTTTCTTATAAACTTGTCATACCAAAGCCTTTAGACCACTTGAAAACAGCTACTGCTATTTCCATTGTGTGAACATTACGAGATAAATGGACCAATAGAAAGGGTCTAAAATTAGCAATAAAATCCCATTTTAACATACATTTTTTCTTCTCTTGAAGACAATGGTTTACGCTGTGGTTCTCATAAGATTAAAACTTTTGTGCCATCTATAAAATCTACTTGCCTTGGTAAGTTTGGTCTTTTCAAGCAAACTTAAAGACTGTCCTTAAATTATATTATTTATTATACTCGTGTCCGCCACAGTGTTTACTGAGCCAAATGCTTTGCATTCCTAAATTGTTTTGCCTATAAATTATATTAATAAATTAAACAACTTAAATTAATTCAACTTTAATTAATTAACACAATTGACCCAAAAGGTCAAGAACTTGTTTTCTTTTTCACGACTGCTCCAATTGTCCGATTTTTTTTCCTCCTGAAGGTCAATGTATATTTATTGTGTTAACTAGAGTCATCAGCGTAGCATTTGTACAGCAGCTTGTCCCAGCTGGCCTTCCATATGCAAGGCTTCCTTTTAGCTGCACATACAGGATATGCAAAGGTGTGCCCTTGCCTAAATAAACACGTTGTGGCAGACGTGTGGGGAATACAGACGCTCACTGGTCTACTTACCCTAATTTGGCGCGTGGACTGAGATGCCCATTTTAGATGCATGTTTGATAAACACAACACACAGAACCGACCAATGACAAACCAAGAAGAAAGGTGCACGGAGAACAATATCGCAGGAATGAGGCAGGGGAGACAGTTTTGATGAATGGAACAGGCGGCCCGCTGGGGCAGCGAACTCTGAGATAACAAATTCAGTGGCAGACGGTGCGCAGACAAAACCCCTGAATTTCCCATCTGGCTTTGGGTTACAATTCATAGGTTCATAATGTAAGAAGCATTTCCACTTTACACTGTTTGGGGTTTTGAAGAGCTAGCTCCACATCAGCTCCACAAGAGTATTCAAGATTGTAATTGATTGCAATAATTTACTGAAAGAAAATACAGTAAAATGCTGTATCTGTCCTTCGAAAAGGATCATTTAAATAAACAGTCCAGCACTATTTCATCTAATCTCTATCTGACACTTCTGTACGATACTGCTGATTACCACAGACAATAGTTTTCCTGTACCACAGACAACAGTTGTCCTGTACAACAGACAACAGTTTTTAATACTACAGACAAAAGGCTCCCTGTACTACAGACAACAGTTTTCCTGTACTACAGACAATAGTCTCCTTGCACTACAGACAATAGTCTCCCTGCTCTATAGACAATAGTCTCCCTGCACTACAGACAGCAGCTTTTCTGTACCACAGACAACTGTCTCCCTGTACTACAGACAATAGTCTCCCTGTACTACAGACAATAATCTCCCTGTACTACAGACAATAGTCTCCCTGTACTACAGACAACAGTTTTTCTGTACTACAGACAATAATCTCCCTGTACTACAGACAACAGTTTACCTATATCACAGACAATGGGACGTCAATGCTTGGAATTATGTAATTTACCACCTACATGGGAAAAACATGGACACTTCAACGAAAGCAAGCTAGCCAGATAAACTCAGACATATGAATGACACCTTTCACGTTCATGATATATTTACCTTCTCAAACAGCAGAAGTGGTACTTTATTACTATTGGTGGTGTGAGCAGCCATATTGATTTAACATCATATGCTGAACTCAAGTTAAGAACACCATCCTGACATCTTATTTCTGAGTAGAAGTTACAGTTTAGGGGGCGTTTTCTTTGACTATTTCCTAGTCGGTGGTCGGAAATTCAGAGTTACGAGCTCTAGCTGAATGCAGCATTATACCAGTGCTATGAATCAAAGGGTTTTCTGTTCTTTTCTGAGTGCAAGGAAACATGTCAAAATTGTCTGTGGTCATGAACAATATGGTACAGATGTGGCAGACAGAGTTTAGACTGAAAAACAAGTATCCTTTAATTTAACTTTTGTTTTTTCTAATCCAGCTTTACTGACAGAGTTACTTAATCCTTCTTTTAAATCCCACATCAGTTCATGTTCAGACAGAGAAGACAATTCTCATTGTACGTGTGAACAGCGATGTTGCCAATCAGTGTTTTCTCACAGTGAGGTGAGAAGGCCCAGCATAGTGAAGGTGACAGACAGCCAAGCTGCAAAGTCACTGTATCACGGGCTGAGACAGCAGCTTGGAAATAATGAGCTCATAGCTAATGTCAACCACTGTCCCTGTCAAAATCTTTAATGGTTGTACAATATAAATGAATAGAAACATGTAATGAAAGCCCTCAGGAACACACCTCTGTAATACATCATAAAACAAATCATTTTCAAAAGGGTCCAAGCAGAGAAGATTTGCAGAGGGAGTTTCAGGGTTTATGATCTGGGAGATGTTTAAAGTAATGATGTATGGGGTCGCTTCCCACCTTCATCTGCTTTGCCTTAAAGCCCTGAATGTGTCCTCTAAGTTCACTAAGCAGCTACTCACCTTCCAATGGTGTTAGGCAGTGAGGTGAGCTGGTTGTCATCAACTTTTAGTGTTGTCAACTTTTTCAGCATTCCTATGAAAGAGCATAAAAACACTTCAATTAATCCCTCTAGTCATATTAAAGCCTTATTCGAGCTGGATTAGTCTTACCTGGGCAAACTATAATTTTAGTGATTGTCAGTGAGATTTGTGATTTTGATCCAGTACAAATCTGCAATATCCATAGTTTTTACAATCTGACAGTAATAATTGCAGAGTGAATGGACCCTTGTAATTGGCTCTACTCTCTAATCTCCCTCAGTAATAGTCAGAAATGAAAAACTCATGAGCAGTGAGAAAGGTGACAAGTTCAGAAATCAATCCTCTGTAGTTAGTGAAACTAAGGGTGCTTTAACACCTACCATGTTTGGTGCACACCAATCAAACCTTGTCTTTAGTTCAGTTCGTTTTTACAGGTGTGAACACTTCACCTGTACTCGGGTGCGAATCAAACAAATGAACTGTGCTCTGCCAAAAAATGTGGGTCTCAGTCTGCTTCCATGTGAACCCTGCATCAGTTCACTGCAGGTGGGAACATATTTTTACGATGGCCTACATCAAATGAAGGAATTCAATATAAGAACATGTTTTTCCTCAGTGCACATCAGTGTTGTATTATCCATAAAATCTGCTTGTTTTAATATTTGACTCTTTACAGACACATTGTTTTTGCAGCACAAGCTGCTGCTAATAAAGGCACTCAAGCAACAGCTAAGCATTTGGTTTTGTCATGTCACATGGTCCATGGAATGTGGTGTGACTGCTTGGACCAGGCATTGTCTGCCTGATTGGGTAATTTGAAACTGATGAACAATTAAATAAATTTTTATTACTCTAATAGTGAAACATCAAGTACATTTCATGCAGTACATTAGGCTGGATTATACATTTTATTATGATTATATCTGAGGGATAGATCTGGATCTAAAAAAATAGACAAACAGAAAGCTTGCCTTATCATTTTCAAATTCCTGACCAATCAAAGAACACCCATATGTGTAATTTGGTACACTATGACCATTGCAATGTGAAACCAAGCATACATGAAAATGAAAAAGATACAATAAAAACAAATCTGGTACAGGCTTTAACAAACAAACTAGGTGTGAAAGCAGCCTAGAATATAGGAGTAATTTCTGTGGAAATATTTAGTTTAACAAGTTCAACAACTACATAAATAGAAGTCTAGTCCAAATACTGTACTGTTCTCTACGTACTCTGATTTATTTGTTAAAATATGTTGCAAGCTGTAAAGGTCAGTGTGTATGACATCTCTTTTTCAACCCCCTTATATATTATAAATAAAGGCCATTCTAAAAACCCATCATTTATGCTCTTCTGGCTCCCTAGGCACAAAATGCTTGGCCATTTGCGATACAGATTTCATAGCAGTTACAACAGTCCACTGAAATAAACATGTTCTACATTAATTTCAGATGCAGAATAAATGAAAGCTGACTGTCTTGATATGCTAACAATGATAATGTGGTGTCAGAGCACATCTATGTTCTATTTAGTTTAAAAACCTAGGGTAGCCTGTTAATAAATGTTTGTGCATGCTAACTTTAGGTTATTTTAGTTTTGCTGCATTTATTTACTAGATTTATTCTCTGTGGACTTTTATTCTGAAGGGCGGGGCTAAGAACTACCAGGGCTGTGTGTAGTAGCAAGCAAGAGAGAGTTAGAGTGAGCTAACAGTAAGAGCTGAAAGCTAGCCTAAGAACTGCATTTTCCCCCTTTCTGTACACTGTTTTCTGAATTACGTCAAACAAAGCTGAGTTATGGACCAGAACCTTGCGTCATCCAAGCTTCTCATGAGAACCCCCCTCGTCACACTGGTGTCAGAAATGGCTTAAGAACTGGAGACAAGAGTTTGGTTTTTTGTTAATTTAGCTACATTGATACAATGGGATGCTCTGGAACAGCTGCATATGAGCCTAAGGTCACCATGCCTTATGCAAAGAGTCAGCTAGACGTGTATAAAATCCACCAGCACTGGGCTGTTGTTAAAAAGCTTTCGCAGAAGAGTAGAAGCTATGGCTGCAGAAAAACAGGACAATCTCTGTATTAACATCCTTGATATCAGAATAAATGTTGGAGGAGAAAGTGTCTACAAACTTTTGGACATGTAGTGTACTTTGTCCCATACACTTCAGTCAAATTCCTTACAAATTACAGTAACTGATAAAACTAATCCAGCTTAAAGAGTGCTTTGGGCAAGTATTTAGCACAAAGAGAAAATTGTGAGAATGCTGTAGATTCAGTATGAAAACTTTACTAAACCATTTGCTTTACAAATCATTTATATTAATTTTTAAGTGTGAGTATGAAACCAGTCAAGCCTGTCCTCACCTATCGTATCAGGCAGCTGTTGCAGCATGTTGGAGGAGAGCAGGAGGTCCTCAAGGGACTCGCACCCAGAGATATCTGCATCCAGACTCTCAATCCTGTTCTTAGACAGGTCCAGATACCGCAACTGCCTCAGCTTCCCTATAGACTTCATCAACAGATAGAGAGAACACGGCTTTACAACAGGCCAAGAGGAGTTTAAACAGTGGTGCATAATAACATTCTCTATGGAAACCATATTTAGCACTCATACTGCATTTTACAAGTGACAATTTTTTCATGATGCATTATGACCTTTGGGGCAAATAGCGATTAGAGTCCATACAGTCAATTTCAATGTAGCATTCAACAATGAGTCCACTGACACTACATTGTACCTCAAAATTCTAAATATAACCTTAAATATCTTGAAACTCTAATAAGATCTACTATTAGTATATTAAACTTTCACATGCATGAAACGCTAATTTGTCGGCCTTTTCCACACACATATCTGCTATACTTTGGAATGAAAAAAGCCTTCTCTCGTACCTCAGATTGGGACAAGATGTGGGGCCACAGTTTTGTCCATACAAAGCTAGGACCCAACTAACTACCCAACATCTACATCATCCCTGGTTCCTAACTGATTCCTGTTAAGACTGTCCAAAAACTCTTAGTGGCATATATAGTTACTGCTTTCCAGTTCTCAAGGTCTTATTGCAGACTGCTACTGGTTGTCTGGCTTCATTTACAATGGCAAAGAACAGTGTACCTCATACATGCATCTATCTAATGACTGTAATGACTGTTTTTAAAAGACCTTCTGCTTTGGAATAAGCACCAAAATCTTCAGAGCACTAACACATAGCTTGCCTATGAGAATAACAGTAATATTATGCAGGACAGTCTGTGTAAAAATTAATAGAAGCTTTAAAAAAAGCAGTCTTCAGGGTATATTCTGTCTAGCAGTGGTGATGTGGAACCTCCGTGAGCAGACTGAACGTGAGCTGAATGTTTAGACAATGCCCATAGGAGGCAGCGGCTGTGGCCATGCTGCGCTGTGTGCTCACCCCTGGTATTGTCTGTAATGAATTGTTGTCCAACCACAGCTCTTTCAGGTTATGGATCTGCTCCAACACTTCTGGCTGAAATAGCAAAGACAATCAGAGCTGATAAAAACAGAATAACAGATACTGGCATTACAAAGAAAACACCTGATTGATTATCTTTGACATACAGTTTAAATTATTATTGTTAATTTTAACAAGACTCTATACATAAACACACAAAAACAGCTTTCCAAGTAATTATATTAATTTCTCATCCAAAATGTGTCATTTGCCAACTGGGGAACTGAATTTGGCTGCTTTATTACAGGGGAACAACAATGGATATTCTCTTTAATATACTACATAATTTATATTACATATAATGCAATATGTATTATATATTAAACACAATGTCTAATATAATATATGGCCATAGAGTTGGCCAATCTGACAATATGTGAAGGTTATCATGATAAATTATGTCATAATATGCTTTCCTGAGTATATCAGGGGATCATCAGTACTTTAAATGCATGCATCATATAAAAAGCAGTCTCATTATACCATTATCTTATTTTATTCATTTATTTTTTTACCATTTTATTTTTACTCCTGTTCCTTCTTAAATAAGTTATGGGGTTATTACGAATATATTTTGCCAATGCTAATAAAAACAAAACATTGTTCTATAGTTTTTCACAGCCTTTTTTAAAATGTGGCACTAGGGTTTGCCAAAACATTAGAAAACCAAATATAATGATGCACATTGTGTGGCATAAAAGCAGTGTTAAGCATCATGATGCATACCTGTCAACTTAATCCTATTAAAATTATAGTGATGTGCAACTGAAAACCTGCAGAATTCAACAAATACCATGACAAACCCCCACGAGTCCCTCGATGAAGCAATTTTTACAGCATGCGAACAGTTTACAAAGGCACATTGTTGTCCTGGAAATTACTTCAGGATTTCTCAAATTTAACGCTGAATTCAGGGGAATTTTGTATTGGATATGTACACCATTTAGTTTCAGGCTGATTTTGTTTTCTTTTTTTTGTAGGCTTTTTAAATACTAGCATGCAAAATCAGTACTGTGGTCTTGAATTTGAGGTGGCTGTATTGGTCAGTAACAGTGGGCGTTGTAATCAGAATATGTAAATGAGTCCGGTTTGGGCTGTTACTGTGATGATGCAGACCAGAATTTTATGAGACCGCCTTTATTTTCAAAAAGTGAAAATTCATGAGATTTACTTTCACAGCAGTGAGACTGGAGCAAAGGCAAAAAAATCAGACATGGCAGCTATGATGATGATATTTTTGCTGTACTGCCGAACCATATAAAGCTATGTTGCCAGTTAATTAGCTAGCACTCTTCTCCAAGCATAATGAGCCAATGAATTGTCATATCATGTGGCGAGACATTTCAGCATTTGAAGAAGCCCAAATATTGTCCATAGTAAATAAAACATTGCAAATATTCAATAAAATAGTATTTTTATATACATATTTTACATACAGTGCATACATATAGAGCAATTTTTTCAAACTGTAGTCCACATCACATATTAGAGTTTCACACTGCATGAATGATTAATTTGACCACTATTGGTTTGGTGTGTGCTGACATGGTTTTTGTCTATTGAACAGATTGACTTTATGAACATACTCCAAAAATGACAACACAGATGCTCAGTGGTGTACAACAAGCCAGCAGAGCAAATGATTTCAGCAGAATCCTGATGCTCTGTTCATTGCCCATTATCTCTTTCAGTGTTGAGACGTTTTTATTTGCTGCATCTCTTTTGTTTGTATCTATTGAAAGTGGGAATTGGGAAGCAGAGCTAATTAGCCTGCGTTTGTTTAGTGGTCCCAAACCACTTCAAATCAGCACTGGAAAGAGATGTGAGAGTGTCGCCTTCACAAAACTCTATCAGAGAGACAGGCAACAACAGTTTACATCTTTATTTTAGATGACGCTTTTTTAAGATTCATCCAACATTATTTTCTCCTAAGTATCGCATTCAAATATGCTTCAGCATTGCGGAGGCTTCTATTGTATTAACACTAATCACTGATGACTATCAGCTATTTTTGGGTAGTACACTAATTGAGCTATATCTAGTAACTTTTCGGCAATGGCCATATCAGCAAACAAACGAATATATTTTATGTACTGTGGAAGCTTCAGTTTATGTAGCACTGATGACTGGTTATTGTTGTGAATACTGAAAAAAGTAATAAGTTGAATTTATGTGATTTAAATGTGTCGTTTGCACACTATAATAACACAATTATTGCTAAATGGAAGAAAACTGCAAGATTAATATGTGTTTATTTAGTTCATTCATGTGGAAATTATGCACCCATTTGAATCAAGTACACACACTCCCACTATATTTTTGGGTAGTACAGCAATTTCGACAATATTTGGTTGTTTTTTTGGCAATTTCAAAGAGGTCTAACATCACTGATGCTTGTATTGCACAGGGATTTTAAGCATGGGTTTGTAAATCAGGTTAAAATGTTTCCAAATGAGGAGAAAGCCTCCTGTGTATGTAATGGATGCCTGTGTCATTTCTTCACAGCCATGACTGCTTCCTGCTCCGCTCCCTCCGAGCTCCAGCATCTGTGCCCTCAGAATTCCCACAGCAAGAGCCTCAATTAAGAAACTTTCTGCAGTGCAGTCCTACAGACCAGCCAACATCTGCTCTGATCACAGCACGACTCTCTCTCCGTAACGCACAGCCAGCGCTTATCAGTGCCAACCTTGCCATGCCCAGCCTGGAAGTGTGAGGGCTATTACAGGGAAATGAGAAACCGCAAAGCAAGGCCCAGATTTAGTGGTAACAAGGGAATCTTGTTTCATAGGCTGTGCTGCAGTCTGAAGCTACAGCATCAAATAGTACAGAAATACACACTTGTAAAAATAAAAGTGCTAAAAGGGCTCTTGAAACGATGGCATTGAAGAACCACAATCTTCTAAAGAACCTATTGGTAGGTTGATCCAAAAAGTGGCCATTTTCTGCTGATCTACTTTTCTCTATTAACAAGATGGCTCAATACTGTTTTTGCACTGATATGGTATGATGATATGTAATGCCCATATTTAATCTAGAATCGTCAAAGGGTTCTTCTATTGTAACAAGCCTGACATTGTAACAATAGAAGAACCATTTACAGCACATCCTCCATCAATCTGAAGAACCCTTTCACAATGCAAAGAACCATTTAACCATGGAAAGGGTTCTTTAAGTCTTCATGGTTCTATATAGTACTGTTTTCTGTACTGAAGAACCCTTGAAGAACCATCATTTTTAAGTGTGCAGGAGATCATGTTTTTTTTCTTCCAAAGGATTCAGTTGAGCTCAATGGCTGGTGTATGATCCTATGAGTGCATATGAGCTCACTATGACAGGACACTGCTGTTTCTAGTTCTTAGCTCGTAAGAGCACTGAAAGGCAAGGCCCAGGCAATGATGAGACTGCCAACCGCAAAGGTCAAAAATGACTCAAAAAGCTTTTCCTGAAGTGGGACACACAGATTGGAGGTCCAGACAGCGGAGCCATAAAGTGTCGATGGGTGTTCTCTTGTTACTTGGGGGCTATGAACAGTAAAGCACACTTATTGCAACGCCAAACCATCTGTTCCCTTTGGAAGCACTGAAGCGAGTGTGTCTTTTTTCACCACCCAAGGACAAAGTGCCCCGGATACTGCAAACCTGCGCATGACGCTGATACAAAGTTTAGAAGCAATTAATAAAAAAAATCCTCTTTTACTGTCTGCCGCTGCAAGAGTGAAAATGTCTGAGTCATGCTTGGCTTATCTGCACAGTGTTGAGTTACAGAGCGCAGTACAGTTGACAGGCTTATTCTGCATAGGCCAATAGGGGGGCAATAATGTCCTTAGAGGAAAAAACATGCAGTATAACACTTTAGCATCATATCAGAGATGCGCTGTTATCCTTATTCATTACAGTATCTTTCAGCAGTTCCCTGGATCTTCAGATAAAGATTAATGAAAACAATCTGAACCTAAATCTGCTGATTCCTAATCATTATAGTCTTACTTGTTAACAGACTCAGCAGAGTTCTAACATTTACCAAGCACTGCACAAATCACTCCTAAATCAGCTTCACTGGTTACCAGGATCTTTTTGTTTTAAGTACAAGTACCTCTCAGTTTCACTCACAGTCCTTCATGCTTTCGTTCCTGTGTACCTTACTGAACTCCTTCACCCCTACAGTTCTCCTCATACTTTCAGATCCTAGACTTTCATCAACGCGTTGCACGTGAGTTCGTTCACAGGTCACCCCCAAAGTCTGGAATCTTCTCTCCATGACTGCGCATCTATTTCCTACTTTCAATTTTGACTTAAGCAGTACATCCACAGTCAATTTCTGCTGGTCTCTATACTTTCAGCATATTTGAAAAATGCACATTAGGGGTGAACTGCAGTGTGTGCAGAGGTGAGGGGGGGTGGGTGATGAGAGGAGAGAGAGGAGAGGGAGGAACATTTAGCATTTCAAGAGGTGGAATATATTCTGATAGTCTTTTGTTACTATACTTAAGTTTTATGTACCTTACTCCAGTATTATACTTTTACTTTTAATTATATTTCCAAGAAAAAAATATACTTTTTACACCTAACATTTTTACTTTGACCTTCAAATTATAAGTCAATCATTAGAAGTCACAAAAGCCATGAGATTTTTCCTTTTTTCTCATGTCAATCAGTTGAGTTCCTGTGTATTTGATGAGAAATTTAACGTTTTTATTAAAAGGACCCACCAAATTCATATCAGTGTAATTTGCCCACAACTGTGCTAATTTATCTTTGAATGAGGTCTAGTACTGCGCATCACACACTATCAAGATGTTTAATTAATTTGTTAAAACATTTACTTTTTGATTAGATATACCTAAGAAAGTTTGAATATTCAGATACTATTTTACATTCACTCAAAGATGCACATTGCTCCATATTGTTTAATTTTGAACTGAGTAAGATTTTGTGCTCATACTTTCTCTTAGGTATAATTTCTCTGTCATTTCCCCTGCACCACCAAAGTCCCACAAAATAACAAAAATAACACAGTCCACAAATGAACCCCCGAAAGGCTGAAAATGATAACTCCCAGATTTTTGAGTTTTGCTACTTGCCGCAGAGAGCAAAGCACTTGCAGGTGTGAACATCTGGAAGGTCGTTGTCCACTTACAGGTACCAAATACTCTCTGTCACATCACATAATGAGGTAGGGTTACAGGTGCAGCAAAACAGATTTTTTTTTTAATGGAGACCATGATTTAACTAGCAAAAAAGTGCTTTTACTATAGGTTTTGTTGGTGAAATCACTGAGCATAACGCTGCTGTCGGAACAAAACCTCGTTTTTGTTGCTTTTCAGTTTTTGACATAATCTGAAAATGCCTGTTGCCCTTTACATTGTGTGTAAATTTCATGATGAATGGACCAAAAGAAATGACCCAAAATTACTTTGAAAAAAGTCTGATTATATTGACTTACACTGAAAGTAAAGTATGTTTTTTCCTCTCCTGTAAAGTTGTCATTTTCGAGATATGATGTTTTGTTCTGACAGCAGCAATAAGCATGTATATGAATATGCTTACACCTAAAAACATGAATGTATTGTTGTTTGCTTCTTTACTGTACACCATTCTGCTCTCTCTATTTCTTAGTTTTTTTCTGATGTGAAGTGTCCTTGGACTTGTGAAAGACACTATATATATGGGCCTGTCACAGTTATTACCTAATCGCCTTCTTTCCACTTATTTTTTCTGCTTATTTTCTCAATTATTAGCTTTCACAATTATATGTTTACATCGCAACAAGCAGAATCTGAATTGTATTTTTATCAATTAAGTGAGGCAAACTTATGTAAATAAAAGAAAGCAGAAAACGCATTTACAGAGACACGTCATGGGTCTTACAAAAACAATAAAAGTGTTCAGTGGTGAGTAATGTTTGTTGATTTGAGCTTGAGATGCTTCCGTCATCAGCTGGGAGTTTCTAAGAACTGACAGTTAAGAAGCCAGTTTGACTGTACTGCAATAGCTGCACACAATTAACAAAAGGCAACAATTTATTATTATTTAAGATGTGATAAATTATTATTATTTATCTGGCGAATGACAGTCAGATAAAATTTCATGATCGCAGGTCTAATTATGTACGTAGAGCATATTATTACATTATCTGATCCTGAATATTGCAAATAATTATACTGTAAATAAGTAATCCACTATTTTTGGGCTGTCTCTGTTGTAATTAAGATCACTGAAGAATGCTGTTAATCACAGGAGGCAGTTCAACACACGCACAACACAGAGTCATTATCTGAAGAAATTCCCCACAACTGCTTACTCTGAAGTTCAGTCACTAGCTTTTTCCCTCGACACAGGAGTAATTTGCCAGCTCGTGGACCTGGTCATTGATTTGAGCCATGACTAAATTAACGCGAAGCTGGGCGAGGCAGTGGGGTTGGAGTTGGTGTGGGGGAGTGGGGGGAGGTAACTCGGGCAGAATACTGGATGAAATGCTTGCTATTGTTTAGTCCGGCTGGTGAGCCAATTAAAAGCAGCTCAGCGGTGAATGCGCTGTCATACTGAGCACATCACGTTTGAACCGCTTCATAAATAATACATCAGTGCATGATGCAACCAATGCAGCACAACATTGGGGTATTAACAAGAGCCATTCCTCCCCCAATCATGCTCTTCTGGGTCAAAGACTGCTGGGTGAGATGACAGCTGCCCAAGTGGTGGCTGCCTCCAAAATGAGACCTCTTTTCTTACCAGTTCAGTGAATTCATTGCTTCCCAAGTCTAATCGCTCCAGCTGTGACAGCCTGTGAATTGACCTGCAGCAGGATAAGAAGGGAACAGGCTCAGAAACGGGTATGAGGCACCATTTACACAGAAGGCAGAGTGAAACCAGACACATCAGCACATCACATAAGCTACAACAGCAACAGAATTACCCACATTTCTGCCTTTAGGGACAAAAGTGACAGTGACAAGTTTAAATATAGAGTCCAATGTTGAGAAAAAGAAAAACAGCTCCAGGTAGAGGTAGAGGAAGGTGATCGATGACATTTCTTTGACTGTAAAAAATGTTAGTTTTTAAAATTTGATACTGTTGACAGTTTTACTGTAGCTGCATTGTTAACTCTTTCTCTCTCTCTCTCTCTTTCTCTCTCTCTCTCTCTCTCTCTCTCTCTCTTTCTCTCTCTCTTTAGCACAGGCTACATTTTCTGTTTTACTGTTTTATTTTTTCCAGTGTGTTATATTCAGCAAATAAACAGTAAGTGTGCATTAACATGTGCAGAAGTATTAATTTATTTTGACCTTAAAAATCACCAAAAACTAACTTGATCAAGCACCCAAACTTCAGTGAGCTCTGTTTGGACAACAATGGATAAAATAAGTGACAATGTAATGTAAGTGGAACAAAAACATTAAAAATAAAAAAAATGTTAAAAATGTAACCTTGTTATCAACAATATATTTGATAAAATGACTAGAAATAAGTTACATAATCTTATAATAATCTTCAAACAATCTCAGCATAAGAACTATTTGATATATTGACTAGATTTAAGATAATTTCACTTGTTGAGATGCCATTTTTGCAGTGAATAGGCAATCAACTATTACTAAGGCATTAATAAATCCAACGACTTATACGCTTAACTCGTGCCACTTCTTTTACTTAATGAATTATTCAGGCCTTATTTACTTAAATATGATCATTTGTTGTTAGCATGAATGCCACAGTATTTTTTCCTTTATCCTTCTTTTTTAATTGAGATATTTTTCTAAAATATTTACTGCAACATATTTTTCCATATTACCCAGCTCCAAGTCAAGATATTAACAGCTACAATTGACCAAATAATCTTGTTATACAATTGTATAGTTGAAGTTTACAGTTTCCCACCAATATCTCTCCAATTACAAAAGACAACTTCAGTCCTTCCAGGAATCTGCAATAAAAAAATAATTCAAATAATTTTTTTATTGCAGATTCCTGGAAGGACAAATTATATATATATATATATATATATATATATATATATATATATATATATATATATATAATCCTGATTTTTAACCAGAAAATAAGCTAATAGCTAATTGCTAATTGTTTTTAGACACTGCCCAGGCCTAGTTCACAGTTACGCAGTGCTACTTGATGTTTTACCAAAATTAGTTTGAGTGCACTTTACTACTCTTCCTCATTTCCTCGAATATTTGACTGTAGAAATATGATGGTTATTTTTATTTAATCTTGAGTCTGTATTCTTTTGCTTCTCAGAGGTACACTTAATATAAAAGAATAAATTAATCCTACTTAAATATATCAGGCTCACAATCATCACAAATTTCTGTAGTTTTATTGCAAGATTTCCAAAAGCAAAGTTCAAATATTAATTCACATATAGAAAAAAGCTGCTGCAAAATCACGCAACAATCACAAAAAACTTGTTGTTAATATTCACATTTACAGGCTAATTGCTGTTAATGTGTAGCTTATAATTTTAAGCTTAACTCATCACACTGCTGATACTCCTGTACTCTGAAACTGTTCACCAACAGATCACCAACAGAAGATGACTTTTCAGATACTTTGTGGCTTCATCCTTGTATGTATGTGAAGACAATCATTTCATATTCTACCTCCAGGAAAACAGAATAAAAGAACATGAAGCCAAACTGCATCCAGACTGGCTCTGATGAAAGTATGGGGGGTTGTAATGTTGAAATACAAACCAGAACATCTAAGCAAATCAGCCTGCATGAAGTACTGGGTGCAATAAGTGTTCCTCTGTTGAGCCCTGACAGTGATTGACTATATTATGAGCTACATTATAGGCTCCACTGCCTTTACCTCTGCTTCATACCTGGACACTCTTTCATCTAGAAACTGGATGAAAATGGATGAACAACATGAATACTTTATGCCATAACTTAAAAAGAAAAAGTGAATTACGCAAGATTTGCAAGATAACAGCAAACAGAAGTGCAAATGCTGAGGTGGGCCAGCGGAACTAGGTGGGCGCATTAAATAGACTAAAGTGAATGAAATGTCATAGACATTGTTAATGACGGGACTATGTTTAAGAGAGCCTGCATATAATAACTCTAAAAAATCCTCTCTATAATGTACCCATTAGTCAAAAAGCTATAAACAGTACTTTACAAAAGTGAGAGAGTTAGTTCACTATTCTTGCACTAAATGGTCCTTGATTTATTTTTCCGGACCCAATCATAAAAATTAAAAAACATTTTTTTTTAATTAATACGTGCAGTGGTCCTTTTGGAGTATGTTGCCTTGAGGTAACATTGTGCGACAATGGGAAGAAATTATGCAGAGCCATGTTCCCTGAAGTGGTGAGACCTGGCTTGTGACTGGCTAAATCCATTCTACTGGCACACGCTATCTCACTCACATTTTGCTTCTAGGCAATAAACATATTTCTGCAAATTCTCATAACTAAGAATATTAATACTGAATATTAAAAAAAGTTTAAATGTGCCCACTAAGAGATAGTATGACCAAGTACATGCTTTTTATTGACTTACTCAAACTCTTCCCGTTATTGGTAACCCTGTTGCTGTCTTTAAATATGCAAGGAAAATGTGTTTGTTGCCCTCAGGCAACATCGTGCAATAGAGGGTTAAGTATAAGTTTTTTTCAAGCATTTTCAGGAGATATTTCTGAAGAGATTAGATATAAGATAATCCACTTGCATAAAGAAGAGGAACGACAAAGTAAAATAAGTAAAAAAATCTGGTTTCAAAAACTGGAGTTGAAAAAATATTAAAATACAAAGAGAAAATGGGACTCAAAACAACAATACAAGACCTGGTAGCCCACCAAAACTGTCACCATCAGATAAACAGTACTTAAAGCTTTCATCTTTGGGAGAGAAGATAAAATCAAGCTCTACTCTTGTTACACTGATGTTTTTGTCCATTCTTCACAGTGAGAAGACAACTCAATGCTATGCGTCTGAAACCATGTGAATCTAAAGTAGAAAAAGCAATTAACTTTTAAGACTGAAATTTGGAGGTGTGGAAAAAATCCCTGTAGAAGATTTCCTTAAAAACTGGCAAGTCTACTGAAAAAAATGGAAGCTGTAATAAGGAAAAGAGTAGACATAAAGTTGATATAACTCTTAGTTCTTAAGACTTCTGTGTTTTCTGCTCTTGTCCTGATGCTGAAAAAAAGATTTTTGCATGATACTGTATGTAACACTAAAATTAAGCTAGTTGATGCCATGAAAGCCCAGGAAGAACACATCTATGCCATAAGCAGTAGCAGTTCTAACAGACAATTGCTGAGGTATTCACAAATACAGCACTATGTAAACCTGACTCACACAACCATTTTACTTTTTCACTTTTTCAACATGTATTTACTGATTAATATATTATTTTTACATTATAATTTAATAACTTATCAGATTTTTATTTCTGCCATTTTTACATCTCACTCTCGTTTATCACCACATACTATATTCGCATTCCTTAAAATCACCCAAATGTGAGCATCAACATAAAAGACACAGTCTTTCAACTCCTCTGTATTCCCTTACATAAGCAGTGTTTGTATAACGTCTCTGATGTAAACAGACCAATAGACTTACTTGTGCAACAATAAACTCATGAAAACACACCCACGTCACTCACTTTGGCATGGTTTTCAGGTGATTCTCTCGAAGTTCCAGGATGCGTAATTTGGACAATCTGAAAGGCAGAGTGTCGTAATTGATTCAGTTAATTCACATAAAGTGCATTTCTCTCACACACATTATCCTGCAGGTTTGCAGAGCACAATGAAACCTAAAGCTAAAAGCTTCTTAACTGAGCTTTTGTACACTGCCATTACTAAAATCACAAATTTTCTTTCTTATCCATATGGAATAGCCATTCATTATCAAACAGCTTTAGATGCTGGGGCTCTGTGCATCAATGCAAGCCTTGGGCAAGTCACTGTCAGCCTTTGTCAAAGAGGTGAAGCTCATATCTAGAAGCTCAAGGACACTTAAACAATGACTAAACAAAGTGTGTGAGTGCTAAAGAGCAACCTGACAGGTTTCTGTGCTAAGTGTAAAAAGGCAGAGGCTTCAAATGAATAGAATAGAACAGAATAGAATAGAAACTTTATTGCCCTAATTAAAGCTGGATATTTTTCTTTGCTCTCACCTCAGATAACTAAAAACACAATTCATACATATTCAAGCACAGAAAAGTCACATATTAAAGGGGAATTTCATTGGCTTTTCAAAATTCCAGCTTTATTCAGTCACTGAGATGTAAACAAATCATTTAAAGTGGTTAGATGGGAAATGATTGATTACAGAAAAACAGACCAATTCACATTTCTTTACAGCGGTGGTGAGGAACCAGGGGGATTTTATTTACTTTTCAAAATGACCAATCAACACTCATTCATAACTGTTATTCATATCGGTAAAACAGTGATAAACCTTAACATTTTTTTGGGACTATTTTGCCTTACAACACCCTACACGTATCCCTTCACCACTAATGTATTTTTAAAACAATCATAAAACAATGTTTCAGGCATCAGGCAGCATTTCATAACCATTTTATACAATAACTTAATTTGAGGTTCCTTTTATAGGCATTAAACACTTCAGACATTGGAATATATTGGAAATGTGGGATGCAGGCCCTTTAAGGTCTCATTTAAGCACTCAAAGTCCATTAATAAAGCTACACAAACAATCATACCAAAGGACAACCTCAGTTAGCGTAGCTGCAGTTAGCGCTTACCTCCCAAAGTTGGCGGGTAGGTACTCGAGGAAGGCGTCGTTTAAGAAGAGCTGTGTCAGGTTGAGGAGCTGGGTGAAGCCATCGGGGAGTCTGAGGGAACAGAGAGGAGATGGCACCCTGTTAAAGGCCAGCAGCACATCACTCAATAAGCGTTAAGTACCTCAGACCCACTGAGAGGTAAGGAGGCCCTGCTATAATCCCATTACACTTCCCCTTTCACTGCTAGCTGCAGAGTGCAGGTGGCTCCTCGAAAGATTAAAGATTAAGATGGTAAAGTGAGAGGAGAGTGAGCGTGCCACAGAACATCAGCGCCTTCCACTTTTAATCTCCCGCCACAAATTAAGTCACGGTGAGTCAAAGTTTAAGGACTTTTCAGCTGTGATAAATATTAGAGCTCTGATGTTTTTACCAGCAAGAACACGAAACAAGAACTGAAACGTGTCTTAATTAAACTCTGTTCTCCCCTCGAACAAAGTTTAATTCATTTTTAAGACACTGTGTTTTCCCCATGTAGTATTAAGGCACGATGCTGCTCCATAATTCAAACATATGTTTAATCATTCAATCTTTTGGAACAATCCAGAAAAAAAACTGTATGAAAAGAGTTTTTACTGATTTCTTATTCCCTGTTTTATTCCTCTGCTCTAAGAGGTATCCTAAACCCTAATTCGTGCAATATGTATAAAAGTATGTCTACAAATTCTTTTAAGCTATCTGAAATATTGAACAGGGCAAGAGTGGTGCATCTGTGCAATGATATGCAGTGTAAATGAGTTGTTTCCATGTGATCTAACCGGTGGCAGCAGCACAAAACCTGCAAGAAACTGTTAATGGTGAGAAAAGACAAGAATTTGAAATACACTTTAAATGGGTTGCATCATCCATCAACACACTATTCTCTGTGAGTAGATGGATGATGCAACCTATTTAAAGTGCATTTCAACTTTTTTTCTTTTCTTTGCATTACAAAGGAGATTTTCAAGTTGTGTGACTCAATACGCTTCATATGTGTGTCGCGGATACTTACTTGGTTATGGGATTTACACTGGCCTCTACAACTGATAAACATTTACAGCACTTGATATTGTCTGGAAACTCTTGAATGCCTGAAGGAAAAAGGAAATAGTTTACATCACCAAAATAATAGAATTTGAACTCTGTTAAAATATGTACATTTAGTTTAATGATTTTCAGCAAAACATAGTGAAAATGCTGCTCTACACTCTTAAAGAACATGAAATGGTTATTTGGAGTTATGCCAGTGAAGAACCTTTTTTAGTTCCCCCAAAAAGTCTTTCAACTGATGGTGCCATAAAGATCTGTTTTTGTAAATGAGACGTGTGAGTGTGAAGAACCTCTTTAAGGATTAAAGAACGTCCACATACTGTAAAGGTTCCACAGCAGTTAGAAGTTTACTTTCATGTCAAGAACCATTTAGGAACCTTTATTTTTAAGAATGTAGTACAAATACACACAATTTTTAAGTCTGCAGCATTCATGAATGAAGCTGCTGAACACCATGATATGACCTGCAGAACGTACCGTTTTTACTTATATCTAATTCCTTCAGGTTTACAAGGCTAGCGATGGTGGCTGGCAGGTTGGAGAGGTCATTATCAGGAATACTCAGCTTCCGGAGGGCCTGACAGTTGAAGAGTTGCTGATATAGAAAGGGAAAGAGAGAAAGAAAGAGTCAGGTGTGTTGATCATTACACTGAAATTCAACTTTAAGTCTGAAACTGCTTCAACCTGTGTTGACAAGGACATTTTGGTATCCATCAAAATCAAACTTCTTGCCACTGACTTTGGTGAGAACAATGTGCTGACAGACAACAGACACCAATCCGTGGCAACGTGCAACAATTACGCTCGATTGAATTGAATATATACTCTGATGTAAGCATGCAGGAAAACACACCAGCCAATAGGAGGCAGTGTGGGGCGGAGCATCAGTCACTTTGAAACTGAGCAAGCGGAAGAGAAACTAATCACTGTTGTCAGCTCACATCCAGAGCTGTGCCATAACAGCACTACAGCTAGCTAAACTAAAGTGTAAAAATCTAAAGTTTAATGAAAACGATACATTTTGGTTCACACTCTGACTGTGTTACAATTTGTATTCATTCAGTTCTTTTCAAAGATAAGCACTGCAGCACAACAATCCACCATACAAAAGTCAGAGTCCACCCTCATTTATTTAATTTCCAGTAAAACAGCCAGTGATATATATGTATATATATCACTGTATATATACATATATATCACTGTATATGTATATATATCACTCTCATATATATATGAGAAGATTACATACAAGATAATTTACTAGTACACTGTTAGAAATTAAGCTTCTGTGCAGGTACACTTTTCGTTCATCAAGGTACAAACAATGTAAATGTGCCCTCAAAGGTACAACAGTGGTTTTAAGGTCAAATTGTGAACCTTAAATAAGTTTGTCCAGGTGAAAAGTATGTATTTGTACCTTTTCATAACCCCAGATACAGGAGGGGCACTGCCCTAGAGACGGTTTCAGACCTTTTTTTCTGAGAGTGCATAAGGGAAAGGGACATAAAAAGGTACCAAAACCAGAATTCAAGAATTATCAAAATATACAAGCAAAAAGCTTTCATTTTTGAGAGAGAGGAGAAAATGAATCTTTAAACTTGCTTTAGGTTAGAAAAATCCTGAAAAGAAGCTGCTGGTGTTCTCAAAACACTGGACTGTTCACTCCAGAGTCCAGACCTCAGCGTCTTTGAATGTGTTTGGGATTTCTTGTATTGTGAGAAACAGAAAACGCGACCAACTGCTAAGACTGAACTTTGGAGGTGTGGAAAAATACCCCTGCAGATTTCTTCCAAGAATTGAATGTACGTCTGCAAAGACTGGAAGCTGTATTAAAGAGCAACTATACCCTAAGACCTTTTTTTCATTAACAGCTGAAATGCATTGTTCTGTAATAATAATATACACCAGCCTTGCTTAAAATGATGACGCCCTACTCGTGCCCAGAGCCATGTAGAGAGACGGCTCTGCTCGTTTGCGCTCATAAATATGAAACAAGCTAGAGCGAGAGAGAACATTGGCACGTTTTGGATGTTTTTCTATACATATCGTCTCATCGCATTTAGTGTGTTATTTAGAGTTCTAGTTAATTATTATTGGTAATTCTTATTTATTGTATTTGTAGATACTGTACTTTTTAGCCTTTTAGACTTAACTAGCCTTATCTTGATAAACATCATAGGATTAGGTAACCTGAAGGACCAATTAAGTGAGGATTCTTGCAAGCCTCCAATACAGCTGCTGAGAAGTGCCATGAACAGCTTGTAGAACGTAAGGTATTTAGGGCCACTGCAGCAAACACTGGATGACAAGTGAGGCAGTGTACGACCTGAACCTGGTCACATCTATGAAGAACCTGTTTGGTACAATGCAGTCTCCCTGTTACACTTCTGTGCTTGGAATCAAACAGGCAGCATGCTAAAAGCTAGGTTTTGATGCTGGAAATGCTAGAAAATGGCTAGCGTAAGCTAACTAGCTTAGGCCACAAAGATTGGGTTAGCTTTTTTCTGCATTAACTTTTAACATACCTTGGCCACCTCCCTACTGCAAATGTTCTCAACAACTGAGAGCTTTGTACAGTGCCCACACGTGCACCTGTATAGAAGGAAATGTTACCCTAATGGCCTAATAGAAGCATGTTTTTCAGAGCTTTATGTCAAACTGAATGGAACTTGGCCAGTGTTCAAAGAAATCCACTTTATTTATTCAGAATTCAGTACATCTAGGAAAACAGGACTTGAGTTATATCAAATATGGACCTGCTGAACAGATAATTAGAAGCTAGCTGTCATGATTTTAGGGAATGTTCTACCATTCGGACGCCTCTGCTGCTTGCTGCTAATCATTTTCTGGCGCTATGTTAACTCTTAGGCAGCTTGAGTCAGTGGCTCATAGTGGAAAGGCTCAACACACTGTCTGATCAGAAACACCTTCCCCCTTGTTGAAGATGGGGATGGTAGTGGAGAAAAATCTTCAACCTTGTAAGACCTCGAAGTTGCAAAAGTGCGGTTTGATTCTGTCACTCTCCATATTTTCTGGTAGCTAAAGTTAGCTATAAAACACAGCAGCCCAGCCCGCCCAGGTTCCCTTGCAGACCCACCTCCAAACCTGTAGATCACTGCAGTTCCCCTCCCAACGTGCCCCTCCCATTTTTGAGCATTCTTCAAAGCTGAGCCAGGGGTGGAGTTAGCCGGAAATAGTGGGATGTAGGCAAAGTGTGGGCATATTAAATACTGAAATTGTTAACATGATATTTAGCTATTGATGCTTTTGTGTACTTTTCTGTTAAATGTATATTTTCTGCTTTTTCCTGATGCTGATGAACTTGTGTTTAATGGCCGTTTTGACTGAAAGTGAAATGATGGGGTGGTCTCTGAATTTTGTATGTATGTTTGTTTTTGTTTTTTTTTTTTAATGGATACTAAGATGTCCTTGTGAATGTGGCCTAAGACGGCTGGACAGCACTAATGAAGAGCATCTAACAATGCACTAATTTATTTTATCAGCATTACTAATATTACGTCTCATCTTATACTATCTGACAGCAGCAGGGGTACACAAAGCAGCTATGCTAGGCTACCACTGTGAATTAAAAAAAGCATCATAGTAGGGGCTCTCTCTTAACAGATTAACGTAGGCTGAGTATGTTCTCTTACATTCGTGCCTTCAGAAAAGCTTCCTGTTCAGGGAGAAAATATCAGCAAAACACAGTCTATTATTAGCCACAATTATGGTTTAAAAGTAGTTGTGGGCTGGTGAAGGGCCATTTTAATGGACATAAGAAGAACACCGAGTCTAAAGGAGCTCAAGGCACCAACCCCATAAGATCAGCACTCATAAAAAAGAGTACTTTCTCCAGCTCTGAATGCCTCTTATGTAACTCCACTGATGAGCCATATGGGCACAAACCCCTCAGAAACCCTGTCCTTTCCCTGCCATCCACTGTTTTAATTTAAGTCTAGGTAGACATATATGAGATGAAATTAATGAGATGAAACAAAAACTGACAGACTATGCTCTTTGTGCTCAGAAGGTCCTCATCCAAGTGAATTACAAATCTTCTGTGCTGTGCAGAAAAGCAGGAGCTGTCCATGGTTCTGTTTTAGCAATGCTATACAGTAGTGTGTGCCATGAATGTATTCAGGACCATGAGCTAAAGCAATGCCTCTAGAGGAAATGTTCTCCTAACCCATAACCCAAAAAAGCTTGTTTACTAGTGGGAGATAATACCAAATCTCATTATGCCAAAGCATGCTATAAACTTAAGAGCTGTAGTTCAGTAAATGAATCGTGTCGGCAGTTAGAGCTGAATAGGTCACTGATATTATTTTCAAAGCATAGATAATGCCATCACGCAATAGGTCGCACGAGAACCAACGCGCCCAGGCCGCAGATAGCGTGGGACAGTTTTTGCTACAAAAAATGTGAAAAGTCTGCATTAATTGACATGATAACATTTCCATAACTGCCCTAACAAAAAACAAACTACAGTCTCTGGTTCAAAAATGTGCCTGCTCTGTATTATTACAGAACTGCAAGCACCATAACAGTCCTCTCATGCTGTACCAGGCTTAAAATACAAAGCGTATGAACATATGTTTCTTGTTGTGAACATGGAGTGACCATCAAAAGTCTGGAGACACCTAGCTTTTCCAAATGGTTTAATTCAGACAAGCATGTTTTCCTTGTCACTTCACGAAAACAACACATATTAAATACTAACCAGGTTTATTTTGAGGAAAACAACACTACATTTATATGACAATATAACTGACAGTGCTTCACTGAAAATTTCTAAACCCTGTGCACCGTTGTGATCAGGAATGTGTACGGGTACTCAACTACTCAGTTAACTGAACGAGGTGCCAGTACCTGGATACTGGAATCCCTATCGGGTTATCTGTTACAATTAATCGCAGTAAGACAGAAAAAACATACAGACCAAATATTCAATGAAATGGAAGTGTAGTGTTTTAAGAGGACTGTAAAATAAGTTGAGTTTACTTGCAAGTAAGTATGCATATTATGCTACCCCGAAACACAAGTGTCTTAATGAGTGCATACTGCCAAGGACATATTGTTAAGGATGTGACTGAGAATGCAGAGATAACTACAGGGTAACTGCTCTAGCTGATGTTAGCTAGGTCCAGAAACAGTTCACTCTGCCACAAGTTAAAAGATATTTCGTTGACAAGCTAATATGTTGGCACATTGGCCACTGAGGAGAAAAGACCTGTAAGATGACGAGTCTTCATCAGCACCCAGCAATGTACCGGTCAGCTGTAGTTTTAGCTCATCAGTTCATCTGACACACCCTCTTTTACTCATCCATTATGAAAAACCTACTGATTTCCCTCAGCTGCTATGAAAAGTAAAACGTGCTGGTATTTTTCAAAATTCTTTTTGTGCAATACCAGTGCTAAGTTTTTTTCTGCTTTTTTCCTTTCCCTGCAGTTAACTGATTATCCTTTCATTAACACTAACGGATCCTCACTAAATTAGTTGGAATGCACATCCCTAGTTTCAGGGCACTTTTGGGTCAAAAAAGGTTCAATATGTGCTTTTAACAATAGTTTGGAAAAAGAAAACCATCAAATCATTATTTAGGAAAAACCTGATCTACATTCAGAGAAAGACCCATTAATGATCAAGTGCTGAAGCAACATCCTCCCCAAGTTTTAGCAAATAGCCATTTTAACAAAACATTCAGATATTTGGCTTACTAACTGAAAAAGTAACAGCAAGAACATTTTAATTTCAAAAGAAGTCAACTGTACATGTTTAATCCTATTTTACGTGATGTATTATCATCGGTAACTCCAAAGACCCTGTCTTTGTGCCCATTACATGTCCTCATTAGGTGTAGTAAAATGTACCAGCACGTGGAAATGAAGTTTTCTGTGTCTTACGTTGTTGTCTATCATTACATAAAAGAATGGATGCACTGCAATGGTAGATGAATGTGCACACATTTAGAACAGAATTTAGAACAAAATCACAGCAGTGGCGTAGCCAGAATCTAATGTTTTTTTTTCAGGTGGGGAGGTTGAGGGAGTAGTTACAGGTTGGGAAGGAAGCTAGCAAGCATTAGGGAACAGAGATATTGGTATAGTGGAGATGATGACCACCAAAAATCATTTGAAAACTCCCCACCAATTACCGCAATCAGCGAAAAAAAAACATTTTTCAATATTAAACACAACACACAATAGCTGACCTTGCATTTAACTAGCTAACAATAATTACTCTAGGAACTGACAGACATACCACAGCAGGTAAGGTGGAAAGTAAGGTGGATTTTCATTGGCATTGGAGAACTTTTTATTTCAGAGGTCAGAAATCAGCGGTCAGATGCTACGCCCTGTATCAATAACATAAAAGGCTATGGATATGTTTAACCCTAGTATAACCATTTTTCTTATTAGATATGGCACAATGTCCCTTTTTGCTTTATGATACTGACACCAATATTAATTCTATCAGCTGAAAGTCTCAGCTGATACCATTCCAATGATGAAAAAAACTGCTAAGCTTTAAAATGCTGTTTTTAACTGAAGCACTTCACTTAAGATGAGCACCGAAAAAGTGGCTCAAACTACTCAAACACTCTACTACCCCATAGGAAGATACACACTGTTAACAACATTAAATCGCACAGTGTGTGTGCTATTTCAAAACAGGTTTGTTACAGCATTGAATTGGATTCATTTTCTTCCCCTCCGATGACATGCACACCTTTTTATCGTTGTTAGATCACGCTATCAAAGGAGAAGAGCAGAACACAGAATGAGTGTATTAAGTACCTTAGGCAGCTCCTCGATTTGGTTGGCATCCAGGTAGAGCTCCTCCAGGGTGCGTTCGAAGCTGAAGATCTCCTTGGGTACCTGCTGCAGGCTGCAGTGGGAGTAGTCCAGCACTGAGATGACCTCCTCCTCCCCCCGGAAGCATCGGCATGGCACCAGGCGGCCGATGATCTTCCTCTTGGTAGTCATCTCCAGTCCCTGCACTGCAGAGCACAGAGAGAATACAGCTTAGCCTCACTTACACAAAGATGGGTGCCAGTTTTCACACCAAAAACGATGTAGGTGCCATTAACGTCCACACAAGCAGAATTACGTAATTAGTGCCATCTCTCTTCATGATGACTCAAGTACATAAGCAACAAAATGACCACTGCACCACTAACAAGTCATATTACACAGACACTGTGGGATGTTTCACAAGAAATACTAATAATGAATGATTCTAGAGGAACGCATTTGGAATATTTTATTTTATAATGGTTTATTATCGCCCTGTGATGGACTGGCGACCTGTCCAGGGTGTATCCTGCCTTCCGGCTAATGACAGCTGGGATAGGCTCCAGCACCCCACCGCGACCCCGAGGGATAAGCGGTTTAGATGATGTGTGTGTGTGTGTGTGTGTGTGTGTGTGTGTGTGTGTGGTTTATTATCATTTTTAAGTCTTTTTTAAGACTTTAAGTGGTGACGTACTAGAGCTGCAAAAAGATCATTAATCATTACCACAGTATTGGCCTTTTTAATACTGATATTGCTGAAGGCTGAAATATCCAATCACTCAAAGTTTTTTGAGTGCTGTGAGCATCCTGACCAATCACAGAAGTTCTCTGGGTGTTGATATGAATCATGATATTCATGTCATCCAACAAATTATTTTGGTAAAAAAAGAATGCCGGCCAAAATTTGACCATATCACGTAAAAGATGTTACAATATTACAACAGATTATAAAGTATTACTAGAGCAACAGAACAGGAGAGGGAGTGTGTTAACACGGATAAAATCATGGCTGTGGTTCGGTTGCAGGCACATTTTCCCACTCCTGAAAGACAGAGAACAAACTACAACCAAATATATTTTCTAAAATGTCTATTGTTAAAAGGACGTAATGATTCAGAAACAACTGCTTTAGCCATTAAGGAGACAGTCTATACAGTGCACACCATATTTCCCATGTATTTAGGTAAAAGAAGGCAAAATCACATTACATCACTTGTAGTGAAGAGAGCGGCTTTCTGCAAGTCTTCTACAAATCCAAGTTACAGTAAGCCACTCTCTTTACTACATGTGATTTTGCCTTCTTTTACCTAAAGACACTGGGAAATAATACTTTGAAAAACGTCAGTAGTCCCTTACTGACTAAAGCATCAGTGACCTGTGCTTCTAAAATATAATGTTCTCTGAAATTTAACGACAGATGATTTTGAAACTGACAGTCATTTTATTCTCTGCTTTCTCAGGTGTGAAAAAGATGCATGTTTGACATTTTTGGATGTTGATTTCATGAGATACTGAGGAAAGAAAGTCGTATATCCAACGAATGCCCAACACAAAGCCAACTTTATTGCACTGCCATGAACAGAGCCATAAAACTGTCGGAACATCAGATTCAGTACTTTCAATACCACAGTACTTGCCAGATTAACCTGAATGCCTTTTTTCCCCAGTCAGTCTGTAAAGCATTTCACAGCTCATCCTATTTGCTGAATTGTAATCTGTTTCTGGCTAATCCCAATTTGTTGGTTGTTTAGTGGTCATAGCTGCCAACTAAAAAGCGTGCTTAGGAGTAGTGACAGGTTCAGAATATGATGATGGCCTGCTGTTATACTCTTCTTCAGAAACTGACCAAATGTGCTGCAGGTCAAATACAGGGTGATTCAAAAAGATTCATCCGATTTCAAAATGATTGATTTCACCTATAAATCATAAATTGTAAATGGTTTAAGTGAGCAAAAAGTTTATTATGAAATTTTAGTGCTCAATATGACGTCCTCCAGCTGTACGGACAACATCAACGCGATAGTCAAATTCATCCTATACTCAATTGAGCATGTTGGGTGTCACTGTACTCGCGGCTCTTTTGGTGCGATTTTGGAGATCATCTAGTGTTGTGGAACCAATGACGAACGCTCTGAGCTGTTGAAGGTTCACTGCCGATGAAAATCACGTTGCACAGTTTCACTCTTATTGAAGTGGAGAATGCAAAATGCTTTCTGCTCAGTGGGTTGCCATCTCCTCGCAGACTGAAGGGAGCCATCTTCCGGGGACAGTCAGACCCCCTCTTTCAATTGGTATGCGATTGGTTCATAGGCGCCTCACGGTTGTAAAAATATGGCGCTTTGAAATCGGATGAATCTTTTTGGATCACCCTGCATTACCTTACAGAAATTATCTGATGTAGTAATTTTTGGTTTTGGTGGTAAAGCAGAAACATACTAAAAAAAGCTGTCATGATTTGTTGTGTGTTAACACAAATAACAGCATGGCTGGGACACTTTTCAACAAATCAATAGGTGCCGTGGGAAATGTTGTTAAATGTAATATATATGTTGCATCATACATCATAATGTCTAGCAATATAATCACAATATACAATTTTACCCATATAATACAGCCATATGACATACAGTCCAGCCATTCAAATGTAGTGTAATGTCCTTCGACTCACTTCCTGAGATATGGGTTCAATAATACCCAGCAGCAGCACAAGGCCAGCTTTCCTAACTATTGTCGACAAAGTTAAATGCAATAAACAGACTGGACTCACATAAAACTGCACATTTAACTGCCAGAGTTCATTAATTACATGTCAACTATTTCATTCTGGAAAACACCCAGCTATAAAACAGAAAAGCATGATTACTCCTACTGTACCAGACAAAACCATATCAGTCATTCTGCAGGAGGCTGTACTGTAACTGCACACAATAGAATAACTGTAACTGCACACAATAAAACTACCATACAAATTGCAGACTTATACCTTCCCTACACAGGACCGAAAGGACATCATATAATGGTCATTTGCTCTCAGTATGCAAAAAAGGTAATAAGTAGAGCTGTAACAATGACTCATTCTCAATTACTCAACTAAAAAATATATAATGATTAAAATGTGACTTCTTAGTGAATCTGCAGTGATTAGCTGGCCATGGTATGACTTTATGTTCTCTTTCACTCTCAGAAAAAAAGGTGCAAAATTGTCACTGGGGTGGAACCCTCAAGAGTACAACTCAGTACCTTACATAATTGTACTATAATCCATTGAAATTATATTTACTTAAGTTGTACTGATTTTACACACCCTGTCTCGTCTCCAGGCTTTTTATTTTATTGTTCTGTTTTAAAACATTAGGTTATGAAAAGGTCAAATACTTATTTTTCATTTGGGAAAAAAAATCATTTAAAGTACACAATTGGACCTTAAAACCACTGTTGAACTTTTGAAGGTACATTTACATTGTTTGTACCTTGATGAACGAAAAATGTACCTGCACAGTACCTTTATTTCTAACAGTGTACTGGCTTCACTTACAGTATGAAATGTACTGTATACTTATAGAGTTTTATAAGCTTTGTAAAAGCTTCCTTCTTTATCTCTTCCAAAGAGCTAATCTAAAATATTTGAAAGGCCATGCATGATCATTTACTGTTCAATTAAAGGGGCAGTCCAACAATAAAGAAATTTAACCAAGCCTACATCTGTTGTAAACATTACATTGGTGCTGCAGTAGTCTCTAAAGTGAGATTTCCTAGTGTCAAGACTAAGAAAAACCCCATCAGATAATTTATCTTGCAGATAAAAGTAAAATTTAAAGACTACAAGTTTCGTTTTCTTTCTCTTTTTTGCAGTTAATTCTTCAGCTGAATTATTCCATTAACAAGTAAAAATTCTGATGACTAGTTTAGGTTAGTGCTAAATCATTAATGCCAGCTAGCACCACACATATTTATTAGCTATTAGATCAGTGTCTAGCAATAAGGATCTGTTCAGCACTGTAGGTATTAACAATGATTGTGCGATGTATGTGCGTAATGCATGCTGGGAGAGAACAGTGACGGACCAAAATATGATGCAAAATTACGACACTGAAAGACGCAATTAGTTTTTTTTTCTTGATTATTCTAAAAACTCAATTATTCAATTGTATTGTGTTCAGTTTATATAATTATGTATATTAATCATCAGTACTACTAATATAATCAGTAGTAGGTCCCAGTAATAAAAAGAAGAAAATTATCTAAAAAAAAATCACAGTACTTTATCTGAGCAGTTTTTCTCTGATGGTTCGCCACATACTTGTGGCTAAGAAGCTCCAGGGAGCCAAACAAAGAGCAACAGTACATCGGTCTTACTTATTTCAATCAACAGCCCTGAGAAATATCCACATCACTCGTGTCGTGATAAAGAGTGAGAGAGAACAACAGAAGCAGGGTGTTATACTGAACTCCAGGGATGGCAATGTGTGGCTCTTGTAGACCCAGTGTTTGAGAGGGCATTAGGGAATAAGTGCTCGGCTGAAAGGCGAGTTCGTGCTGATATAAAGCGCTTTTGTCTCTTCCAAATGCAAATGTGAGACTGTAATAATTAAAACATCTAGTCGCACAAAGCCCATTCACAGAACAGCGCAGTTATGGCTGTGGTCACATAAAAAAATAGCGACACACGAACAATTTGAGATCATAATTCAAAGGAAAAACAGTGATGTACAGGGTCAGATCTTATTAATCCTTTACAAAAATTAAAACATTTAAGTGAAATAGACTGAAATAAACAGTACTGCTTCTTATTTTTTCAAGGAATGAATGAGTTCTATGTATTGGTATACATCAAATTAAAATATATTTACAAAATTTCTTGCTACATATTGACTAGCAATGGGCAATATCATGATACGCTATTGTTATCATGAGTAGTTACATCATCAGTACTACTACAACACTGAAAAAAGACAGAATTAGGCCATTTATAAAGAGCTTATACATAAAAACTACCACCAGTATACAATAACTACATAAACTGCATAGTACCAAAAAGCTGACTGCAAAGCAGCCCATTATGACTCTTATTCTATTCATTTATATCTTGTTTTATTCATTTATGCTTACCAGCTGACAATTTTTAAAAGTCCTGCCCTCCTTATGCTGCATTCACATGCTACCACTAGACGGACAATGGCAAACCGGTTATTCCACTGTTTTCAAT